GGGACACACCCTTAAGGGTAACATAGCTAATACTTAGTGAGTGCTCACTATGTACCAGGCATGGCTGAGTACTTTACATATACATAGATTAACTCTTCTAATCCCCACCACAACCCTTTTTTTCTTTAATCTTCACCCAAGGACATTTTTGTATTCATCTTCAGATAGAGTGGGAGGGAGAGAGGGAGGAAGAGAGAGAGAGAAACATCAATGGGAGAGAGACACATCGACTGGTTGCCATCCACACGATGCCAACCAGGGCTGGGGACAAACTGCAACTGAAGTACATGCTCTCAGTGGGAACCGAACCCGGGACTCTCTGGTCCACAGCCGAGGCTCTAGCCGCTGAGCCAAACAAGTCACGGCCCCACCACAACCCTTTGAGGTAGTATCTTGTCCCCATTGTACTGAAGAGGAAATCAAGGCCGAGAAAGGCTAAGTGAATTGCCTCGAGCCATATCATTGACACAAGTTTGTGAAGTTGGTGAGCTGGCCATCTGGCTCCAAGTCCCAAGCTCGTCCTATCTCACTGCATCTTGAGGTAGGATTTTGCAAAGTCTGAGCAACACACACACACACACACACACACACACACACATATCCTGGCATGCCAGATGTTCTATCATTACCAATTATATGTATGTACCTGAATATGTATTAGAATTTTAGTCCATCATACTTCTGCAATGCTCTTTCCGACATTCAGATCGTTCCTCTGTGTGGGGTTTTTCTAATGGATTTCTAGTCATTCTTGAAAATGCTGCTTAGACATCATCTATCTTAGATCCTTCCCATCCCTTCCTTGCCCACAGAACTAATCCCTTCCTCCATGTAATTTCTATGCTTGTTAATACTTATAGTTTTACATATATCACATCGGCAGAGGTACCACCAGCTTGGACTGAGAAGGACAGAGAGAATACAAAATGAAAAGAGATCTTAGATCCTCAAACCTCTACAAGCAGGAAGTAGGCTGCAAAAAACTACTCAGCTGAGCCCTGGCCGGTTTGGCTCAGCGGTTAGAGCGTCGGCCTGCGGTCTGGAGAGACCTGGGTTCAGTTCCCGCTAAGGGCATGTACTTCGGTTGCAGTTTGTCCCCGGCCCTGGTTGGTCGTGCGGGTGGCAGCCGCTCGATGTGTCCCTTCACGTCGATGTTTCTGTCTCTCTCCCTTCCTCTCTCTCCCTCCCACTCTATCTGTACAAAAAATGGAAAAATATCCTCGGGTGAGGATTAAAAAAAAACAAAAAAACTACTCAGCTGCAAATACATACTGCCTTTCATGAAACAAAACAAAAACAACAAAAAAACCATGGCTCAGAGGTTGGAAATAAGAGCAGGAAGTGGAGCCAAGAGCCATGAAGAATTGTTTCCAGGCCTTGATTCCTCATCAAGAACTGTGACCTGTGCCCAGCTAGGTGTCAGAATTACCGTGAGCTAAGGATTCTTGTGTACAGTCCTTTCTCCCTATTGAACAAGATCGTCTACAGTGGTCAGGCGAGTCCTATCCCACCAGGTAGGCTGGCTGAGGGAGAAGGAGCTAACTTGTCCCTTCAGTTCGAAGGTCTTAAGATCAAGAGGAATGGTATTAAAGCAGCTGTTCTTCAGGGACTACATCCCAGGAGACTCGCCACACTTGGACCTGATTTTGAAGCCAACCTCTTGGATTTGGAGTCTTGTGGGGGTAGTGGGAGGAGTCTGGCATATTTGCACATGGAGGCAATGAAGTAATCTGTGGCCAGAGGAGGAACCGTGGTTTTCAAATAAGCTTACAAATTCTTTGATACTCCTCCCAAATTCCTCTCCCTTGACCTATACTTGGTGATTTGCTTTTAACGGACAGGATGTAGTCAAAGTGACAACAGGTGATGGCTGAGGCTAGCTAGGATCTGCTTCAGCAATGACCGACTCCTCCTTGAACCTTGCCCTCTCTGGAGGCGGCTGGCTGCCATGTGAGAGAGCACCCAGACAGCCCGACAGAGTGGCCCACCTGGCTTGCACCGGAGGCTCCTGCCAACAGCCTTAATAAACCACGGAGTCCAGTAGCGACCCTCTTGGAACAGACCCTCCAGCCCCCCTCAGGCCCCCAGGCGCCCACAGCCGCTGACATCGCCACTGAAACTTCCTGGGACCCCGAACCCGAGCCACCCAGACAAGCCGCTCCCAATTCTCTACCCACCAAAACTATTCTAAATAAAAGTGTAAGTTTGTGCGTTGATGTATTACACAGCAGTAGGTAAGTCACACACGGAGCCAGGCTCACGCAGGACCCGGTGACGAACTGAGGATGTGGTGATGAACAACGCAGCTGTAACCCTCTCCAAATGCACTAGTGGGAAAGACATATTAATGGACACACGCGCTTACATGTACAGACTGAGGAGAGTACGAAGAGAAGAGAAGATGCGATGAGGAGAAAAAGGAGACAGAATTCGGGTTGGGAGGATCGCCCCGACGGGGTGGCATCAGCAGAGACCTGAAACGGGGCGGGGCTTAGCCGGTGAAACCGGGGAGGGCAGAGGGCACAGCCTGCACCAAGACGTGAGGGAGGGAGGCTGGGAGGGGCCCGCGAACCGAGGGGCACGGGAGGCAGTGTGACAGGTGGCAGGAGCAAGAGGAAGGGATTCAGCTCAGGCTGGAAAGAAAGGCCAGCGGCAGGTCATGCAGGAACCTGTGGGCCGTCGTGAGGACTCGTCGGGGCAGCGAAGGGTCAGAGCCAGAAGAATGACACGATCCAAGTCATTTTATTGGAAAGACCACTCTGGAGGTCGTGTGGAGGACGGACTGGGGGGGAGCAGGGACAGCGGGGGACCCGACAGGAGCCTCTGGCTGTGCACAGGAGGCGGAGTGCCCAGGGTGGTGGCCGAGATGGAGAGAAGTGAGTGTGATATTTAAACATCGAAGGGTGTAGAATCAACAGACTTTAATCCACCGAGTCCAGCGGAACAAGCAAAGCCTCTTATTTAAGATCACTGAACACGAAAGTCAAACACCGTTAAAATTTTTCTGAGTGATTACCTAATATCTGACTGTAGTAATCACTCTGCTTTCTCCAAAAATATATGAATTCTGGTGGTGCTCAATGTCTAGAGAAAGGAAACAGAGGGATCGTTTTCTCAACTTTTCTTTTACTAGAAATTTGAATTACTAACCCTTTTATAAATAATCCAATTACCAGCTGTTCATAACCCTCAGTGTGGACAGTTGTTGAACTAGATTCTTTTCATATACATTGCTCTTTGGAAATAAAAATGAATGCAAACCTTTTGGAGAACAATTGGATGATCAATATTTGTTCAACGCTTTTAAAACAGTCATACCCATTAAGCTAGTAATTTCACTTATCAGAATCTATCCCAAGGAAGTAATCTTCAATGTGGGAAAAGCTCTATTTCTGACATTCAGAATATAAATCCATCTAAATAATCACAATAAGGAAACTATTTAGTAAATTGTAATACACCTTATGGTGGTATGTATACACTGGCAGCAAAAGTAAAAAAGAAAAGCAAGAAAATAATTGATAAAAATTCTCCATACAATTGGGGGAAGGTACAAGGGGCCCTTAAGTGTCTACTAATATTCGATTTAAGCTTGGTGCACACATAGATATTCCTATTAGTATCATTTTCTAAACTTTACATAGGTTTTATTTACTAATATTATTATTATAATATGCAATTTTTTAATGTAATCCAGAACAAATAATGTTTATCAACATCAGAAGTGCTCATGTCAAAACAGAGTAAAAAAAGACATACAATTGATTACAAATTATGGTATATAGATTGTATCGAAGAAGGCTGAGATCATCACTACGACGACACAGGAATCATCCAACTACTATGTGACAATGTGCTGAAGACAGATGCTAGAAAGAATTCCTCTAGAAAAATGAAAGAAAGGAAGAACGCACCTAAGTTACTATTCGTGTCATCTGATATAATTATGGACCTAGAACTTCCAAGACAATGAACAGACAAGGTGCCAACATGCAGAAACAGTTAAGTAATCTGACCAAAAATTGTGCTAGCCACAGCCATAATAACAGCTAACAGTTTTTGAGGAATATGTACCAAAGCTGTATTAAGTGCTTTTTAATTTATTTACTTATTCAATCCTGAAAGGGGTTAGTATTACTATCTTGATTTTTAAAATTAAAAACGCCCTAAGGAACAGATAGGTTAAGAAACTGTGTAAGGTCACTAGCTCGTCGCAGAGTCTGTGCACAGAATCATTACATTATTCTGCCCTGACAATAAGCAGTTAGAAAATGTAGCAGGACACAGGGTCCCATTCATAAAACAACCAAGAGTCATTTAAAAGAAACAAAAGTCAACACATAACCAAAAGGGATAAATTGAACCGTCCCCCCAAAATCATACTTTTTACATTTTAAAACAAAACCAGATTAGAAGACTAAATATTATATTATATGAACATCACGTCTCCAAAATAAGAAAAAACTGTGGGGTAATGAAAGGAGAGTAAGCCTTGCAGTCCAGACACTAGTCCTCTAGCCGGACACCTAGGGGACCACCTGGAGCGAGGTGCCCCATTCACAAAAGGTAGCTCAACTCTAGGAATCTGGTTCAGCTGCCTTGAGAAAAGGGCTTAAGGAATTCCCAAATAATGACATGCCAAGGCGCCTGGCTCAGTGAGTGAGCGTCAACCCATACACCAAGAGGTCACCGGTTCGATTCCTGGTCAGGGCACACGCCCAGGTTGTGGGCCACATCCCCAGTGGGGGGCATGCAGGAGGCAGCCAATCGATGTTCTCGCTCATCAGTGTTTTTCTCTCTCTCTTTCTCCCTCTCTCTCTAAAATCAAAAAAGAAAAAAAATGACATGCCACGGAAGGAAACACGCTGCTCCACTGATACCCTGGAACCAAAGTATTGGCATGCAGCCTGGTCAACAGTCACTAAGGGTCGGTCAGCGGAACAGGCGCCCACCGTCTTCCTGGTAAGAACAGCAATGGCCCTTACGTTCTCCAGCTGTGCAGAAATGAGTCCCATTCACGCCAGCGCTGTCGAGCTGAAGTCAACCACAGGTGTCCTCCCCTTCTCTATTGACAGATAAGACAACAGGTCTAGGACGGGCTTCTCCTCCCAGGTCACAAAATTATTTTCAGCCACAACTAGAAGGTCAACGACCTGCCTTTTCTTGGGTTTCCAGATGACCTCTCTGAACATATACATCCAAACCACCGAACACAGGGGGTGGGCAAAAGTAGGTTTGTTGCCTGTGACAAGAGGTTCTTGAGGTGGTTTGAGAAAGGAATCTCAATGGGACGTGCCTGGGAGAAGTTTAGGTGGAGTGGATTCTAGAGGGTGAAGGGAAGTATGTCCTTGAGGATGGACGGGCAGCCTCTAGCTGCAGCTGCTCCAAGATCCTTGATAATTGTCCATGTATTTTTTTTTTCAGGAATGAGCAGGCTTTCTTTCAAACTATCCAACCTACTTCCTGGGTTTTCCCCGCCTTGTGCTGGGCCCTTCCCTAACCAATCCCCTCCCTGGACCTTCCAGGGTTCCACACCCTTATCCAAGCTGATTCTTCCCCCAGGTTAGACACCTCGCCTTTATGGTCAGGATCTTGGCTTCTACCGAGCATGCGCCCAGCTGGGGAGTTTCCTCCCAGACCTCCCCGCTCCCCAATAATCCCTGTACCCACCTGCCGGTGAAATGCCAATTGCTCAGGGATTAAGTCCCAAAGGATGTGGCATTCCCCTGGGGAGCCCGTGAATGTTCAAACTTCTCAATACGTCACATTTAATGTCCGATCCAGCTCCCTACTTTATTAGGCTTAATGTCTGACTGCATTTGCTCCCTTCCTTTGTTAAAACTAACTAGCTACCTACTAACTTGTTCTGCCACCCTGAAGCTGCCTTTTTGAGAAATTGATCTTAAGCTGTTTATTAAGAAACAAGACTCAAAAAGAACCTCTGGTGTATTGGGACACTGCTCTAACCAAATGCAATGACATTGAAACTTCTAAAATATAAATAACTTCTAATAAGTCAATAATTTGGATCTCCTACCTTATTAATAGTACTTGATGACTCATAGGCTTTCCTTTCAGGTTTGTTTTTTGCTGCATTGAAAACTTCTAGGTAGAACCCCGTAAGACCACATTTGATCTGTGGGTGTTAGAAATGTATAACTGATTGACCATCCATTCATTCTCATTCATTCTCTCTCTCTCCCCCCTCCTACCTCCCCCTCCCCAGGTTCCTCCCTCGCTTCCTCCTTCCTTTCTCTCTTTCCAGATCTCCCACCTTTCAAATGCTTTGATTGGGATAAAAAAAAATGAAAAGGAATTTTTTATCTTTGGCACTTCTACCTTTAAGTATTTGTGTTATCATAAGAAAACATCCCATAGCTACTAAATCAATGCTTTAGAGCCAAAGCATATATTTCTTTCTATTGCATTTTCAAATACAATAAAGAAATAAGACTCAAAGCAAAAGAAATGCTGTAATATCTTCATGTTAATAAAACTAAGTATCACTTAGTAAGGAAGAACACTGATGTATTAAAAACAAGGTGTTCCCTCACCCAACCATACACCAGTTCACAGACCTTCCTAAGTATATTACTCTTAAATAGTTCTTTTTCCCAACAATCAAGGTTTCACCATGTTCTTCCTCCATACCTTATAAAGGTATCAACTTACAGAGTGAACCTTTATTCTATAAAATGCTTTTGTTACTGTCATAACTAGCTAGGTTATTAATGTTAACAATAGGAAGAAAGCAAAGGGAAGGCCAGACATTATATAAGCATGGTCGTCTGGGCAGCTTCACCAGGAAACTACAATTCATGCTCCACAGGGAACCACCAGTCCATTCCCTGCACATCACTGGGAAAGGGGTCCAACAAAGAGGGAAATGGACACGTGCACAGTGAGGTCGGGGTGACAGGAAAGATGCTTGCCTGTCAGTCTAGCCTGGTGAACCATAGATTGGCTAGAGGGTGGAGCCAGTGCAAGCCCATGGAAATCTGGGAAAACATAATCCCAAAGGAATCCGTTCTCTCTTATTCCTTTTGCTTCGCTCCTGCTTCCGCACACTCGCCCATGCTCCCTCCACAGCCACGGGGCTCTAGAAGCTGCGTGACCCGTGGCCACGCGGACCCCGCACGCAGCGGACTGAAGCTGGGAACACAAGCTAACCTAACCGGACGCCGGACAGGACTGTGTAAATATGGACTGGAAACTGCGCCATGGCTTTGATCTTGGCCCTGCTGAAGACAAGATGGAACTGTTTCCATGGTGAGAGGAAGGGAAAGGGACACTGGAGGGAAACCCCCTAATGTTACTTCCCAGGACATCTTATCCTCCCATGGGGACCTCAGGAAATTCTTGTTCCCACAGCACCCCGAGAAGCCCGCTTCCACCAGCAACAGGTGGGGACATAGAGAGCACCCCACCGATAACACATTATTCAAAAATATTTCTTAACTGGAAAGCTGTGTTCTTCTGAGGTTCCTTAGCAAACACTGAAGGTCAGAAAAGCATGTCAGAGAATGACTCAGCTCTTGCAAGTGTCAACACTGAACGCTGATGCACTGCAAACAGATCAGCCCGAGAAGCTCAATCCTTTGAAATATTTAAGGCAGGTACAAACTGAGAATGGACATTGAGTTTTCTCCTCTCTGGTGCTAGAGTCAAATGTGCACTACACTGCATTGATAATCAAGAAATGAATAGCATTTTACCCTTTGGCAAAGAGATCAGCAAGAGTTCATCTTGTATAAATAGAATTTTAAAAATATATTCTACTTTTCACGAGTAAGAGTTATTAAAGTCCACAAGCATCAAGGACAAAAGATAAAATAGATATAAGTAATAAATGTTTGATCCTTTGGGGAAATATTACCCAAAGGACTCCATTACTATAGAAAACTGTATGACACTGGTTTTAAATGAATTAATTTCCCAAATATTCATTTTATGTATGTTGAAACATCATAAAGTATCTGCCGAATAAAGTAAATTTAGGTTTTAATGGTTGCCATTCATCTTTATTTCCCAGTCATTTACTCCCTGCTTGGCTCCCCAAATTCTATGTGAGTTATTGAAAGATTTAGCTACTTCATTAAGAGCTGAAAACATTGAGACTAAAATGTCATAATTTGACCCAAGTACAACCCATTCCTGCCTCTTCAGTGCATGTCCTGCTGCTCCCCAAATTGCAAATGTGAGTATTTTTCATGAAAGCATTTATTATACAGTTAGATACATTCTGGACATTCTTGAACTTTCTTTTTCTATAGGTGCATATGCTTTGCAGGACCCTCTATCCTAAATGAGATGTTTTTTCTAGTTACATATAAAATCCTGATAGAATGTCCTTGTGGCCCTTCCAGAATTGCCAAGCAAGGAAGACCTCACACACATACCTACGAAGGTTTCCAATACCACCACATGAGCATCTGTTCGAATCAGTTCTGCACACATCATATGCTAGATCCAGCATGGCGAAGGAGTTTCCTTTCTTCTGCCATCGCTGACGGATTGGTGCTGGGGCCCTGCGGGAAAGGAAGATGTTGTTTAGCAAGGTCTGGAATGAGGAGAGAGAGACAAAAAGGGATTAGATGATCATCTCCCGCTCCCCTCATTTGCACCCTGAAATTTATGCCAACCCTTGTTTATGCCTATCCCCATCCCACCAAATGAATGCAGATTTTCTCAGTGCCTTTACATCCTGATAGAGCTACAAGTATAATAATGTCCCTTCCCTTGAAAGTTTACCATAGACTAAGCTAAAATAAAGATAAAGATAAAGGGCTTAGTATAATCCCTGGCATTTAGCTTATACTTGATTGGTGTTTTTTCATTCAACTGACAACATCCTCCACTTTATTGTTGTGCGTTGCCTCAAACTAAGCAAGAAAGTTGATTTTGGGCTGTGTGTTTGTGAACAGAATAAGCCAGAATGTCATGAGAAAATATTTGATCATTTAAATGTCACAGAAGTTGTCGACTGTCCTGTTGGTGGTTACAGAAGTTGTAAACTATTTCTCATAAAATAGAAAATTAAATCAAGTGGCTATGAGCTTGTCAGAAGTATTGTCTGCTGTCTGCTTTTGGCACCTACTTCCTGGGAGCACAGGAGGGGTGGTGAGTGGCTAGATGACCACACCATTATTAGACAGAGAAGTTTACCTTTGTCTTTTACAGCAATGTGGTGGCTTTGGTCTTGGAGAGGTGTTCTAGAGTAGATCCCTGGGAAAGGGGAGCACGTGGCTTAATTCATTGGTTAGTCCCCTCCCCCTGCAAGGTCATCACATTGACTCCTTGCTTCAGGCAGACTTGTATTCATCTCTCCCAAACAAATGTGTCTCATTTTTTTGTTCAAACATGTATCTCCAAATAAAATTTAAAAAATCAGAAACTTATTCTGGAAAAGACCCAGGTGAATCCTGCATCTGGGTTAAAATGCACTGATACCACTTTAATTAACACTGTGATGACATCGTCGATGTTAAATGTACTCCTGAGCAATTATCTAATGCACTTCAGCAGTATATGTAAGCCATCGAAATCATCTCATTGAAATTAATTATTTCCTTCACATCAAAAGGCAGGGAAAGGGATTGCCTAAATTATCTGAATAATTACCTTAATTCTCTCTTTGTGATTATGTACACAACCAGTCTTTGGATGCTTTGGGCCAAGCCGAGGCAAAACTAAGTTCTATCAAAGTTATATATACTCAACTTATCACAACCCCCTCTAAACAATTTACACCCAACAACTAATCAATCATTAGAAGTGAATTTTGGGGACATAATTGTTTGTAATAATAACTATAATAATAGGCTAATGTTTGTTTTTAATACGGAAATTTCATTTTATTTGTATTCATTATTATATTACTTAAACTTCAGAAGAACCAACTTAGTAAAAACGACTTTTCACTACGGTAGCTTACCTACCATGGCTTTTATCTCAAAGCCCATGATACTGAAGCAGAAAGAAAAGAGACTGAGAGTTATATGGTTGGAGTTCCACTTGGGCTAAGAAATACAGAGGTTGGGGTGCAGGCTTGGGGATCAGATAGGTCTAGGTTAAAATTTTTGCCCTGTCATTTATCAAAAATGTGATCTGTAATTCATTCAACCTCCCTGTGGTGGGTGAGGTTATGATTCACAAGCAATAAAAACTGAATATGGCCCTGGCCGGTTTGGCTCAGTAGTTAGAGTGTCGGCCTGTGGTCCGGAGAGACCCGGGTTCGGTTCCCGCTAAGGGCACGTACTTCGGTTGCAGTTTGTCCCCGGCCCTGGTTGGTCGTGCGGGTGGCAGCCACTCGATGTGTCCCTTCACGTCGATGTTTCTCTCTCTCTCCCTTCCTCTCGCTCTCCCTCCCACTCTATCTGTACAAAAAATGGAAAAATATCCTCGGGTGAGGATAAAAAAAAAAAAAAAACCTGAATATGGTCAATTTAAGCAGGAAATGGCTGTATTGGAAAGACAACCAGCCACACGGAGTCGATGGGAAGGCTGGTGGTGGCACACAGATGGTCAGGATGCCCAACTGCCAGCCTCTGCTACGGCGGGAACCTCAGCACCACCTTCCCCAGAGGCTGTGTAGTGTTTTTAAAAATAACCCAAATTCTGCCCAACCAGTGTGTGGCTCAGTGGTTGAGCATTGACCCCTGCACCAAGAGGTCGCCGGTTCCATTCCCGGTTAGGGCACATGCCCAGGTTGTGGGCCCGATCCCCAGTGGGGGGCATGCAGGAGGCAGCCAGTCGATGTTCTCTCTCATTGATGTTTCTATCTCTCCCTCCCTCTCTCTCCAAAATCAATAAAGAAAAAAAAAATTAAAATAACCCAAATCCTGTTTGTTCATCTATAAAATGGGAATGTCATTACGCAATGCCTTTCTCAGAGCTTTGTTGTGAGAATTAGAGCACATGTATAAAGCATTCAGCACAGTGTCTCACACAGACTAAGCACTGGATACATTTCAGTGGTCTTACTAATCATGCCTTTAAGCAAGTCATATAGCTTTTCTGTGCCTACACTGTTGTTATTAAAGAGAGATGACTCCAATCATACTGTATGAGTCATAGGCTAACCGCTGAAACAAGCAGCCCCTCAAGTCTCAGTGAATTGTTCCTCTTGCACCTCATGAGGGTCACTGGGACTGGAATGAGGCCACCACTCCATGCAGGTATTCAGCGACCCAGTCACCTTCTATTTAATGGCTCTGCGATACACCAGGACTTTGTATCTTGGTGGCAGAAGAAGGAAGACAGAGAGCATCTCTGAGGATCAGGGTATTTTAAGGACCAGGCCTGCAAGTGGCACATGTCACTTCTACCTGTATTCCATCGCCTGGAATCCAGTCGCACGGGCTTCACTTTAACCACAAGAAGCATGAGAAATAACACCCAGCTGAGTTCAGGAAGACGCGGAAACACGGCAATCTGCATCACACCTGCCGAGCACCCTCAGGAGGAGAAATAAGATCATAGCAAGTGTGAAAATGCCGTGGAAAGTGATTAACAAGCTACAGATGATGGTGGTGTGGGTGATTCAACCAGGGAGTCTGTGTGTATCTTCTGAAGTGCTAAAATATAGAGCAACTTGGGTGGGGGGGGCGGGGGGGCACGGTGAGAAGAAACTGAAATACAATCACAATGTCCATCATGTAGATAAGACACCTAACACGTAAGGTTTTACCTCTCCAGCTGAATCTTCAAAAATAAGCAACAATAAGTCAATAATCCCCTTTAATTGCTCATTAGCTCAATCTCCAATAGGCGTGCAGTGGAAACATTTGTTTGGAGAAAACGGGGAAAGAACAAAAGGAAAGAAAGCCATCACATGGAGGAGATAACTGGCAGAGAAGGAGGCAGCCTGAAGCAATCACTTGGTGGCAACCAGCCTCCCCAGCAGTAATTTATCACCACGTGAAGATGTCGGGGAGTTAATCACAGTACTGGCATGTGTAACAACGCCACGCACTAGACTCAGCATGACATTCATGCTTAGAAATGAAAAGGATTAGGAGGCCACACGTTTGACCTGCACTGTTAAAATGGGAGTGTGCTCATCAGAACCACAAACACAATCATGGATCGCCTTTCACACACAAGGTCAGGGGATGGGCATGCTGGTAATTCACCAGACCAACTGGGCGAGTGTGGAAGGCCGCTGTGTTACTGCACCAGATAGGTGCCTTTTCCGCTCTGTTTGAGTATCCGCGTGGCCTGGATGGAAGACAGAGAGCAAACACACTTTGCACAGGCTTTGCTCCATGAACGTCATTGTTTTAGGAATGCTGAGACCTGGCCCACTTGGGCTCGGTAAGGGGTCCAGGCCAGACCCGACTCATTCTGCTGGCTTCCTCCCAGCCATTATCCTCTTTCTGACCCATTCCTTTGACCCAAGGACAATTCAACCGAGTCAAAGGGGATGTGGTTGGTAGTCCCCAAGCAGCCTTCGCTTTTGGGTTCTCACCTTATGGTGTTTACTCAAAAGAGTTGTCAAATAATTAGCCAGGCGAGAGCAATCAAACTGGTCAGGCAGGCCATTCTTGGACTAGTTCAAACCTTCAGCGAGAAGTTGATGCCAGTTCTGAAGAATTGAACCTAGGTCTCCCAGTGCAGAGAAGTGGGGATTGAGGCACAAACTGCAAGGGAGGATAGAAAACAAGGTTTAGAATAAAAATCTCTTCACTGGAAACATATGAACAGTGACAACAAGTGTCCACATAATCACAGCAATTCTTCATTTCCTTTTGCAATGAAGATTCCTGGCAGAGCGTACAGGAAACTGAACTACACTGTCCCAGTTTTACAAATTAAGAATGATTTGTTTCCCAAACCTTTGACTGCTACTTTTGAAGGCTAAACTTAAGCTTTAAGAATCGTGCACGAAAAGAGGATACAGGTAAACCTCACTACATTTTTTTTAGTCTTGTGTCCTGGGTTTTTATTTATTTGTATCTTCCTAAAGCTACTGCAAGGAAAAACAATTTAAAGGACTAGTAAGAAAAACAGCTCCATTGATCAGCCCAATTTATCAATGAAATGCTAATACCTGTAATACCTACTATTTCTGATTATTACGCAATTATCTAGCAGTGTGCCTCAATTTTTTTATTTAAAATATTCTATCTTCATTGTTTTCCATTTTAGAAACTTCAAAAGAAAACTGGAAAGATATTTTTATTAGCAGAAAGTGAAACAGGTGGGACTTCCCACCTCCCCTTCATATATTTACTGACAACCTCCTGACAGGGTGACAGTGATGCAATGTGGTTAGAGAAGGATGGGGGTAGAATGTGCAGTTTCCTATTTTTAGCGTGTTTTGAAAGCTGACATAATCATAGAAGTTCCTACTTAAAAAGGAAGCATGGGCAACAGAAGTGGCCATGGGTGATTAAGAGAGGACGCTGAGAAATGGACCAGTCGCTCTCAGTTCTTTTTATGTTGGCTAACAAGTGTGTTTTTGTTTCTGAATCCCTGAGATCCATGAAGAAATAATATAAACAATAGAATGATGCTGTATTACTGTATCCACATGGTGCCTTACACTAGTCAGTGGGAGTCTAGATAGTTAATGTCCTGTAATTGAAACATGGAATGCCCTCTTTGTTTATATTACTCATGTGTTACTGTGCCAGTTGAGAATAACTGAAGAACCTGATAAATTCTTAGGTTTGTTCATTCATGAAATAACATTTAAGGACTCAGTGCCTGTTTATCATATAAAAGAACAGTTACTAACCCTGTGAGGAAATGCAACATGTTAAAATGCATGTGTAGGGCACAAGGAAGGAGGTTTTTCTAGGAACTTAAATTCTGTGAAGGTTCACGCAGTCTCACTATGGTGTTTTTTTTTTTTTAATGGTGAGACGGTTATAATGATACCATAAAGTTTCACAATCTTTTCTCTCTCTCTCTTTTTTTTCAGTTTTCAGTTCTGATTTTAGGAACTAGAGTAGAAAGAAGTGAACAATGAGTACATAAATAGAAAAACTGTTCCCACCATAAAAGAAATCAAACTATAATTAAAAGAAAGAAGGTAGAGCAAATTGGCTTTTCCAAGAGTTAATCATGGAGGTAATGACTGGAGAATTCCTTTCCTCTAAGAACTTTTAAGTCCGTGCTGTCGCACCCTCATCAGCCTCTCAAAAAAGTCATGGTGAAGGTAACGTGAGTACGAGGCAAAGGCACGAGCTCGGTCTAATCGTTCCTACAGGGCAGACATCCCGGGAGGAGGAGAAAGGCCGGGCGCTGGGCAGTTAGACAGACAGCCCTCCCACGCTCTCCACCTTTCCCACGTGGTGCCCACGGGCCACCTCTCCCCTCGGCTGCTGGGCTCCACCATCTGCTCCCAGAGAGGTTGCCATCCCGGCCCCTTCCTTGCCTGGGGCTGCCCTAGGGAGTACAGCCCACAGCCTGGGAACTGCCAACTAAACCCATTTATGGTGAGAGGATGACTTCTTCCTCGTTTCCCCGCCCACGCCCGGTGCCCATCCACCCACCAGGCCGGTAGCGCGCACCTTACTTCCAACCCGGGGCCCCGCGCACGCTCACACACCCCTCAGTCGCTCCAGGCAGAGTCCTAAAGCAGTTGACCTCCCTTCCCAGCCACCAGATGCTGCGACCCCCGTGTAGAGGTGCGAGAAAGAGCCCACTCGGGGCGGGAAGCAGCGAGTTAGAGACGCTGGTTTCGGAGCTGGCCCCTGGAAGCCGAGTTCAGAGGGGCCACGAGGGTGCCCGGGAGAGCACCAGGGCTTCCCAGTCGCCCCGCCCCCGGCGGCCTCCCGGCACCATCAGCCTGAGACGCGGGAAGCAGGTTCCGCGAGCTTCCCGCCCTGGCAAGGCGGGGATGCCGCCGAGAGCGTCCCCGCGCGGCGTGGTAGGACCCGCGCAGCCCGAGCCCCGCCCTCTCTGCCTCGCTACCTCGGGGCGCCGAGGGAGGGCGCGCCCCGCCCCGCCCCCCGGCCAATGGGCGCCCCGGCCGCGCACTGCGATCCCGCCTCCGCAGGGAAACTTGAAGCAGGAGAAAAGTTTGTACAGAGAGGCTGGAAGGGCGAGAGCGGAGCTCGGAACCCGGCGGCTGGAGAGGAGGAAGATGAGCGGTCCCGGGTCAGAGCTTCAGGCCCAGTGGACCTCAAGCCGCCCCCAGGAAGCCAGAAGCGGCCTCCGCGGCAGCCGCCAACCCCGGTAGCCTCCCGCGCTCCCCAGGACTGCCGAGGAGGTCGGCCCAAGCCGGGGACCGAGGCTCAGTGCCACCTGCGCCCGCGGCCTCACACCTGAGGGCTCTCCGCCCACGGACTGGACCCGCGGGCTCCGCCAGGCTTGGATCATCCTTGGAGGCACGGAAACATAGAAAGAAACCCAAGAGCAGGCTTCACAGACCCCTATCCGCTGCCCTTCTAGTTCCGCAAGTTCGTGAAAGCTGGCCACTCTGACCCCAGTTCCAGAACGAGCAGCCCCCGAGACCCGGCTCTGAGAAGGCGGCGGCTAGACAAGATCCCCAGTGCGCGGGGCGAGGCCGAGGGCAGGCTGAAGGCGTGTCCAGCACCCCTGAGGCTTGGCTCTGGCTGCCGCCGCCGCAGGCACCACAGGTGAGATGGGGTTGGGGGCACTGGGCAGAGAGCAGAGGGCAGGCGGAGCCAGGGAGGCGAAAGCGCTCTCTCCAAATTGTCTTTCATAATTGTTTTCAATGAGAGTTTTATTGACTCAGAATCTGTCGGGAATTAGAGCGAACCACTTTTCCCCTGAGACAGGTCTTGTTCATCTTGGCAGTGGAGTGAAGTTGAGTTGGGGGGAGGAGGAGAGAATGGCAGGATCAACTTATAAATATTAATGCGAGTGGAGTGGAGCCCGGAGATTTGGGTGGCCAAAGTTGGCAAGTGGCTACAATTCACAAAGTAGGCTCGAGGTGTCCTCTCTGTCTCATCAGTATATTGTTTCTGGGGTGCGGGTCTGACACCTCGCTGGTGGTAGTTTACGCTCACGGCGCCTGTGTCTATCTTCTACCGTCTCCAGACCCAGCCGCGCACTTCAAGGCCGCGCACCGCCGGCCACCACCATGTCCACCCCTGCGGCCAATGCGTCCGTCTCCTTGATCCCAAACAGCCCGGTGACCATCCCGGCGGTGATGTTCATCTTCGGGGTGGTGGGCAACCTGGTGGCCATCGTGGTGCTATGCAAATCGCGCAAGGAGCAAAAGGAGACGACCTTCTACACGTTGGTATGCGGGCTGGCCGTCACCGACCTGCTGGGTACATTGCTGGTGAGCCCGGTGACCATTGCCACGTACATGAAGGGCGAGTGGCCCGGCGGCAAGGCGCTGTGCGAGTACAGCACCTTCATCCTGCTCTTCTTCGGACTGTCGGGCCTCAGCATCATCTGTGCCATGAGCATCGAGCGCTACCTGGCCATCAACCACGCCTACTTCTACAACCACTACGTGGACAAGCGGCTGGCCGGCCTCACGCTCTTCGCGGTCTATGCGTCCAACGTGCTCTTCTGCGCGCTGCCCAACATGGGCCTGGGCAGCTCCCGGCGGCAGTACCCGGACACCTGGTGCTTCATTGACTGGACCACCAACGTGACGGCGCACGCCGCCTTCTCCTACATGTACGCGGGCTTCAGCTCCTTCCTCATTCTCGCCACCGTGCTCTGCAACGTGCTGGTGTGCGGCGCGCTGCTCCGCATGCACCGGCAGTTCGTGCGCCGCACCTCGCTGGGCACCGAGCAGCACCACGCGGTCGCCGCCGCCGCCTTCGCCTCCGCCTCCTGCCGGGGCCACCCGGCCGCCGCCTCCCCGGCCCTGCCGCGCCTCGCCGACCTTCGCCGCCGCCGGAGCTTCCGCCGCATCGCGGGCGCCGAGATCCAGATGGTCATCTTACTCATCGCCACCTCCCTGGTGGTGCTCATCTGCTCCATCCCGCTCGTGGTGAGTGGCGGGCCTCACTCGGCCCCTCTCCCGCATCCACCTCCCTCCTTCGCCTTGCGCGCCTCCTTCCCTCTCATTCCTTGGCAGGAGGCACGGCTCCTCCAGGGCAGCTGCAGGTCGGGGCTGGGATCCCCGCACTCAGCTTCTCAGAGCAGGCCCAGCCTCCCTTCAGGCCGCCTCCCCAAGGGGATGGAGCAGGTGCTTCCCGAAAGCCCGTTTCCTTTCGCTCCCAGGACAGCCCGTCCCCAGTTGCTGCCTGACGTTGGCCACGAGCCTTCTGGGAACCCTGCCTCTCTGTCCGGTGTGGAGGGGAAACCATGCTCTATTCCGAACAGCAGAATCCAAAACACCAAGGGTGTTGGTCTCTGGGTGTACACCATTGCTTAGGGTAGTGAGGTTTGGGTGCTTTGATTTATGTAGGGTTTGGAGCTAGATTGTCGAATTTTAGGACTAGAAGACAGATGCTTTTAATCTAGTCTAACTCCACTTTACATAGGAAGTGACTTGCTTATAATAATCTATCAGAACTTCACAGTGGAGCTGGATACCTTGCTCTTTAGCATGCTGTGCCTGGGAGGACATCTCAGTGCCAGTGTGAGTGACAGTTGCTACAGGGGATGGCGGGCACGGGTACCTTCAGTCTCTGTGGGGTGAGGAAAGCAGGGTTTCTCAGGGGCTCTATTACAGGCAGGCTGAGGGACATGGGGTGTTGAATTTGAATTCTCAACAATCGTAAAGGTACAGTGCCATTCTGGGCACACGATGCTTTGGAGACGGAGACGGTCGTCTTATTTACTGTGTGTCCAGCTCTGCGGCTGGCAATGAAGCTCCCACCGCTCTGCCTCCAACCCTGCCCTTACAGTATTACTTCAGGCCTCCCTTCTGGAACGCTTCTAATTTTGGCCTTCCTATGTGTGTGTTTGCGTTTGGGTACACTTAGTTTATAGGACATCACCTCTGGATTAACTTTTAAAATGCTATAGGCAGACAAGTTGAAAACCTACCTAGTTCTCCTCTACTTTGCCTGTCCTTAAAATGGAACACAGCAGAAACCAATGCACATAATACTCTATCTAGAATTTGCCTTAAAAGCAACCACTTCTGAGTTTTTTCATCTCTCAAAGCACTGCAGGCCTGCAAGTCCTAAACTACGAAGTCAAGAGGAGATGACTTCTCTTTCTTATGCTAGTTGAGAGCAAGAGGAAGTAAATATAACATGTAATTCCCTTCTTTCCCTTATTAATACTTTCCAGGGGTATTTAACATACAAATATTACATCTCTGATAAAAGTGACTGTAGATGGAAGGAACTTGGAGGTGGCTGACGGCCAGCATACAGTAGCTTCTTGCCAGTTTGTATAAACAGGAGTAAATATAATTGGCCAAAAGGGCCTTTCAACCATTCCAGGACCCAATATAATTTAGAGACTTAAGTCTCACTTGAGCCACATAAATACATTTTACTGTGTGTGATGGCAACTCAGAGTCAAGTGAGGGTTTGGAAGAGACCACACTCCTGCTGGGGCTCCTTCCCCGGCCTCTGCCTGGTGTTTTCCAGAACCATAAGTGACAGCGTGAGTGGCTGTTACTCACAGAATATCCACTTTAAGGAACAGAGGAATTAGAGCTAGAAGCTAGCAACCTGCACGTACTTTTTAAATGCGTTGCAGTTGGAGGTAAGCATGGGAAGCCACTGATTACTGCAGGCGCAGATGAACTGTTTCCTTCCTGCCGAAGGGGCCCACTGGTCCCGCGGTGCAGGGCTATTTATCACAAAGCCTTGAAATTACTGGAGAAGCTGGAGGCGAGCAACTGGAGGAGCTGTATTTGTGGCTTGCAAATCAACCACATTTTAAGTAATGAATATTGGCCACTCTATAGAAAGTCATCAACGTGTAGTACATAGTAAGTAATTTTAACCTGAAAATTGCAACTGGCTCAGCTAAGGAGCAAACACATTTTAAGTGATAAGCACTCCTGTAAGTGGCAATAGCTTCAGTTTTGAGAGCCCTTAGCTTTGGCTACCAAAATCGAATTTCAGAGTCAATTTAATTGTCAGTTAATGATATGTACACTCCCCACCCACCCCCATTTCCGCAACTGCCGGAAGAATTAAAAGGGAAACTTATCTACAGCGCCAGTCTTCTTTGGCTTCTATTTACAACTTTCTTGTTTTTTTCATGTTTCTCATATTCATATTGTAATTTAAACTTAAAGTTTCAGAACGCTGACATTTAAAGGAGCCAGACCTATCTTCAGTTCCAAAAAAAAAAAAAAAAACTAATTCAGCATCTCTCGTTTTCTTTAACTTTATCAAATCAAGTTGGTCACTAATCCTATGTGAGGAAAGCAACTCTTTAAAACATCGAAAAGCTTTGGAAAGGCCAGTAGCGCTCCTACAATTTAATTGGAATTTCAGAAAGCTTGACGGTTGCTGAAAAGCAGCCAAGTTTTCGTCGTTTGGAAACCGGGGAAGAAAAAGCCAGGGTGACTATTACAGGGCTGTTGATACAGAGTTCGGTATGAAAGTAAATATTAATGTGTATGTCTCATAACAGAGCTCTGATTGGAAATTTGAGAAAAGCTGGGAAGTTAGTTGTGGAGATAAGGAACTGTGCTGAACTTGCAAAATGTTCTCAAGTGACTCATAACCACCTAACAGGTGTGAGCACAGCCTACGACGAGGAGCACTATATGACAAGGTGTCGTGGGCAGGTGCTTTTTGTCAAGCAGTCTCTGGTTTTTTTAAATGCAGAAGCTGCAAAAATGAGAGTCTATGCTTAGGATAAAGGGACTGTATTCTTTAGAAATATGCAAGCAAGACAGCCTCATAAAGTCCGGTGTTTGTTTTTCTCTCTTTTTACCCTGAAGTAACAAGTATTCTTCTCTGTTAGGGTTAGAATGGCCAATGTGATTAGTCTGGTGCCTGAATCTCAGGTCTTTAGGAAATAGCTTCCTGTTAGTGTTTCTGGTTAGCATAAATGAATTGTCTGTATAAAGCTCTCCCAGCATTTGATCAGCAGAGGTTTATTAGGGCAGATGAAAACTGCGGAAAGAGATACACTGTTTCCCCCGCAGGCAAAGGAGTCTTCAAACACCTGATGGATTTCAGGTGAGTGAAATTCACATCCCTAGGTCCAAGACTGCCTTAGACCTGGGTACTATTACAGCAGAACCTGCAGGATTTGATGATTTTTCCCCCCAAATACATTGAGCTGAGTTTTAAAATAGCAATTCCTAAAAGCAGTTTTTTAGTCGTAACCTAACCTTGCAGACCTATTAATTGTACCTTGAAGACTGCAGGGTCACATAAAAGTATTTCCACATCTGGCATCTCATTGAAAAAAAAAAAAAAGCTCTGGGAAGAGAACAGGGCTGGCCAATATTTTCACGCTCTCTGCATCTGTTTCCTCAACTGCAGATGAAGAACTTATATTACTCTGCAACGTATTGGGTGGCCGTGGGCGAGTCCTCCATCATGCTCTTCCCACCACGCTGTGCTAACCTGTCAAGACTTGGTTTTATTGAACATCTACTAACAAGATTTCTTTTCCCCAGAGCTGAAGTGAGCCTTATAGTCAGTCTCCTAGTAGAATGTTGAAAGTTAGAGTTGTTAATAGATATGCTTCAGGAATTTTCAATAGAGACTGACCTGTAGAGATTAAGTAATTTGCCTGTAGTATCTGGCCAGTTAACGGCCCTTTCAAAGGTGAACTGAGGGAAGGTGAACTGAGCTCCCACCACCCAATCAACTCGTTCCATTTTTCTTTATGTAAAGTGTTTTCTGTCACTAAAAAGAAAGGTAGTAATCTCTAGTAACTGCTGTGCCTACTCTGGACTCTTGGCAAGGCTGTTGGCTGAGCACACACGGGCATTCCTCTGATGTCCTAGGCACAGACCGAGTAGATGCACACAAATCCACTGACGGGACCGTGTCCTTTATTGGAAAAGCATTTCTACCTTGATAGTCAGTTCCTACAGCTGTGTGATCAAGACTTCAGCATTCTTTTTCAATTGGACGTTCCCTGCCAACAGGTTCTTCTTAAACAGGAAGTACACGTTTTTGACACCTCGTCATTAGCTGTACCCAAAAGCGATCACTGAGAGATTCCACAGTGGCCAAGTTTCTACATACAAGTTACCAAAAGAGTGAGAGCAGCCAACAGATATGTTATACGTTAGCCATTTTACTAAGCGCTTTCATAATTTTTACATAAATTAAAAGGAGCCAGGATCTGAATAGAGATTTGTCTGATTCCAAAGCTTGGGCAGCAAATAACCTGCTCCTAAGGTCACTGTTGTCCCATATTCTGCTGAACGTATCACCCTACACTGTAGTCAGCCTCAAGAAGTTGAGAATATTGTAAGGGATGCCAATTTAGCAATAAACTACATGCACAACTCGGCAGCTACTGAAAAGTAGATTATCTTTTCAAGTTGCAAGAGATTGTGTATATTGTTTATATTTGGTGGACTTTTTTATGGTGTTTCCCCCCTGACTCAGAGGTTCTGTTTTTATCAGCACATACTCTTCCAGCCCTGAACACTGCCCGGACGTGTTTGTTTGTGTAACACGTACGGCCCGTCAGAGGAGAACCACAGCAAAGAGCTTTCACCTACTCACGCCACAGTGCTGTGGCTATTCCCTTCTTAATCTGGGGTTTCCCCCTTTGGGAAGAGCAAATCAGGCAGCCTTGAAAGTGAGGCAGAGGTTGCTATGATTTCTCAAATGTTATGAAGCTCATGGAGCTTGTGTTCATTTTTGTCTTTTTTTTTTTTTCCTGTACTTAAAGTCAGTCTCCATTGAGAACAGACTGCCAAAGGCAAATTCACTGGTCTTGAGTCTTTTGCAACAATTTCACATATTTTTGAGAATGTTTTTACCTGAATTTGGAATTTTGCTCTTTCTACGCATCTTTTTGCCCTCCTGTGGTCTCCCTGTTACTGAAACAATGCTCAGTGACCTGGCCAGTGCCTTGTGTTAATTGTAAGGAGGGTGTTTTCAACCCCATGGAACTCTAAAATAGGGCTTTCTTCGTTTCCTGCCCTTATCTGCCTAAGAACATGGCATAAATTTCCCTTCATGAAGGTGGCAGAAATGTCCTCCCTCCCGCCCCAGGACCAGGATGAGGAGGAGAGTGACCCTTATCATGGGAGACAGAGTCAGCACCAAGATGAGCCTGCATAAACCTCCCTAAAAAAAAACAAAAAACTCTTCTCTTCCATTAGTCGCCCATGTTTTCCCTACTTCACTATCCCACTTTTGACCTCTCTGGAAGCCAAACCCTCCTTTCTTTGTTAAGATGGGTATATAAGCTTTTTCACTTTTTTGTGAACTCCTGTGCACATAAAAAAAATATTAATAAATTTTGTATTCCTTTTCTGCTGTCAAAATAAAGAAATGTAATTAACTAGGGCTTCCTTTTCATTCCTTCTACAGTAGTCAAATGACTGCCCTGGTTGAAGTGAGGCTCAGAAATGATTCTTTCCTTGCCTGTCATCACCTTTGAATATGAAAACCCATTATTACCTTTCTTTTACAAAAGTCTGGCTTTTCTAAAAACTCGTAGAAATTTCAAAAGAAAATGCTAACCCCTAATACATTCCTTTGAATAGCTACAAATTTCTTTCCTTTTATTTCCATTTTAACTGCTCAAAAATGTTGTTCCTTTCATTAGTACCCATGTTTTCTTTGAGGTAGTGGTGGGAGGCACAACCAGCAACAAAACATTTAAGTGTTAAAAATATCATACGGGCTAAGTTCAGACTTAACCAAGATTCTGTTCTGAAAAGAGTCTTTGGAAATGGTGTGTCAAAATGCTGCTTAGGAAGGTTCTGTGGGACCCAAAAGTCCCCAGTAGAGCAACACTGCCACCTAGAGGCTGCAAGTCTCAAGTTCTAGAAACCCTGCCATCGGTTTTTCCCCCCAGAATCTATCTAGGTACACACAGAAGGCCTGATTGAATCCCTTATTTCCTTTATCCTTAGGAACAATAGTATATGATATGAGTAAAATATAAACCTCATGCTTTTTACCAATAATTCCATTGCCAGGAAATAATTGTTAAACAGAAAACCAGTCAGCCTGGTAGAGCAGAAAAAGCTATATGGAGATCAGTCATCTGGAGACCTGGGGCCCAGACTAGAGTTGGCCACCAACAGAGTGGGGGACCTGGATAATTGTCTTAAAACCTCTAGGTCTCATCCACATTTCATCCGAGAAGAGGCCCGTGATCTAAGGGAAGTAAATCTCTCAGTGTCCACACAGCTGAGAACCTCAAAAGAGATTATTATGGTGGGAAGAAACCAAGATGCTTTGTTTCACAAGATTGTGTACTTTAATTAAAATGCGCTTTAATTAAAATTTTCCGGAATGAAAATTACAACCAAAAAAAAAAGAGTAAATAGTGATTACAGTAAGAGCACAATTTTTTTTTTTTACTGCCAAAATAAGATTCCAAAATAGCAAGCAGGTTGATAGGGTCTCCTTGTGTTTACTTCATAAGCCACACTGGCCCGAAGGTGTGGGCTGGCCCACGTGCCTCTTGCCTTCAGCAGCTCACACTGCCCTGGAAGGAGCTGTCATCCCTACTTGGGGCCTCCAGAGTGCTCTTCTAGCCCCAGCTATTGACCAGCCCAAATGCTACACAGGCACGGAGGCAGGATTCCCGTCAGAGCTTCAGGGTGGGGTCACGGAGCGGAGCTGTGGAGCAGAACCAAAGTTCGCGAACAGCAGGGAGCCGAGCTGCCTGATCAGGTCTGCATCTCAGAAATAGTCTGGCCGGCAGTTTGGAGGACGGACTGCAGAGCAAGCTAGTTTTGTGGCTGGTGTGATGATCCAGATGGAAAGTGCTGGGGCAGGTTTTTAAAGGAAGAGTTTATTATGACTGGGGAACAGACTGGTAGAAAAAAAAACCTCCCTGGTCATTCTGGATGATGGGAGAGTCAGAAGTTGGCTTAAACATTTCCCATACATTCTTTCTAGACTCTAAAATAAAGGAATCTCTGGCTTATCTGTGATGACTAGCTTAGTTGATTTACAAAATGAGTTTCATTTAAATATATGAATGACAGCCCTGGCCGATTTGGCTCAGGGGTAAAGGCATTGGCCCTTGGACCAATGAGATGCGGGTTCGGTTCTGGCCAAGGGCATGTACCTCGGATGTGATTCGTCCCCGGCCCTGGTTGGGGTCATACGGGAGGCAGCCACTCGATGTGTCCCTTTCACATCCATGTTTCTCTCTCTGTGTGTGTCTTCCTCCCTCCCTCCCACTCTATTGAACAAAAATGGGGGGGAGGGGATGTCTTCGGGTGAGGATTAAAATAAATAAATATATGAAAGACAGCTGGAATAAGGGAAATCAAAGGCTATGGGGGAAAACACTTCATTAGAATTACCAAACCTTAAAAGCACTCAGAAATGAAGTTAATAAAATGCTTCTCAAGGGAACTTTATGCGTACATCACCTGTACTCATACTGCACCTTTGACATCTTTGATCTAGGAAACATATATGACAGTTACAAAAGTATTGAAAGTTTTACTAACTCAAAACGGAAATGTAATTTCACAGTTAGTGGTTTTTCTGAGGCTTATGCTGCTCTTTTTTGGGGGGGGAGGGGGAGCAATTATTACCAGAAAAGAGGGCTGTTACCTAATGTTGTCCGATTAAACATTGCACACAAATGTGCCCCAGTTGCTCAGTGAGAAAGTCTAACCGTGGGCGTCTGGTTTGTGCAGGTGCGAGTGTTCATCAACCAGTTGTATCGGCCAAGTTTAGAACTAGAAGTCAGCAAAAACCCGGATCTGCAGGCCATCCGAATTGCGTCTGTGAACCCCATCCTGGACCCCTGGATATATATCCTCCTGCAGAAGACGGTGCTCAGTAAAGCCATGGAGAAGATTAAATGCCTCTTCTGCCGCATCGGCGGCTCCCGCAGAGACCGCTCGGGCCAGCACTGCTCGGAGAGCAGACGGACCTCCTCCGCCTTGTCGGGCCACTCGCGCTCCTTCCTGTCCCGCGAGCTGAAGGAGGTCAGCAGCACCTCGCAGACGCTCCTCTACCTGCCCGAGCTCAGCGACGCGGGCCTGGCGGGCCGGACCCTGCTGCCCGGCGTGCCCGGCATGGGCCCGCCCCCCGCGGACTCCGCCTCCCTGAGGACGTGGCGGGCCTCCGAGACCTCGGACTCCTCGCAGGGGCCGGACTCCGAGAGCGTCCTGCTGGTGGACGAGCTCGGGGGCAGCGCTGGGCCGGCGCCCAAGGCCAGCGCCCTGCAGGTCACGTTTCCCAGCGAAACGCTGAACGTGTCGGAGAAATGCATATAGCAGCGAAGGGGGAAGCACTGTTTCTGGAAGCTCCTAAACCCTGTGCAATAGACACGAGTGAAGTGTCCGGCTGCGCTCAGGCCTGTCCGTCTGTCCTGTGACGCACGTGAGAGGACATCTGGTTTTGAGCACTTTTCAGACCATCAGGTTGAGTCTCCTGGCTCCTGAGGCCTGAAACACATTGGTTGCCACCTCTTGAGGGTGGATTTCGGTCACAACTTGATCGCCAAGACGGACCCTCCGTTTCCCTTGCCGGGAAGATGGCAGGAGCTTTGCTCCTTTCAGGACATCGGGAGCCCCTGGCAGGCGCACGGGGCCAGGTGTGCAGGGCTCCCGCCGGCCAGCCAGGAGGACCGTCTACGGAAGATTCCAGTGTCTCACTAAAGCATGAAATGTGAATTTTACTGTTGTAAATATGATTTAAGGTATTTAAAGTATTTTCTTCTCTGTGAGAAGGTTTATTGCTAATACAAGGTATGATAAAAATTATGGTAACCCCTCTCCTCCCGGTATAACTAGCTGAAGTTCTAGATGTTAGTTTTTTTTCGTAAACGAGTTCAGGCCGAGGTATTGAAAATGCACAGTGACATTCATATGTGATAAATGGACACAGGTTTTTTTTTTAAAAAAGAGAAATAATTTAGTACTATTAAAGGAATAAAGAAAAATACTATTTAAGACATGAAAATTACAACCCAAAATATTCAAGTTCTTTTGCAAGCTATGCATACTTAGGGGAAAATGTTTAGTGCTGGCTACATATATTTATCCAGAATGCTGGTTTCTGGAGAGCCTAACATGCTGGCCAATAGTTTCTACTTTTGTCCCCACAGACTGGTACTTTTAAAATGTAACAAATTTTTAAAAGCCTTGAATAAACAACCCATAGTTGACGTGTACAATATAAAAGGAAAAAGTCGAAACAGCTTGTTTCCCCCCTGAAATTGTGCATTGTGTTACTTTCCTAAGGAATGATCTAGAGCATCCTTGAAATTTTAAAAGGAAGACAGACTGCATGCACCATAACAACTTTTACTTTGAGATGTGGAAGGATTGGTTAAATTAGCCTTTCCCAGCTGTTAGAAGAAGCTAACAAGATACGGGGCACAGACGTGGGCACATAAGGGTCACCTTCTGACAATTTTGTGCCACGCCCTGTCATGCTGTACACGTATGTGAAAGAAACTTTCTCAAAGAAATATTAAGCATGTTTTGTTGCTTACAGTGTTTTTGTGAATTGCCTGGTTGTAATTAAATTCTGAGCCTGATAGTGATATGGTTTCAAGAAGCAGTTTTATCAACTCAAATTATTTTGGAGATTATAATAAATAAACACTCACTCTGAGTTCCATATCCTCGGTTTTGGAGAACAGTGCAGTTTTTGTTTCAGGTTATCTTCTGCATCTTTTTCAATTGGAATTTAAAACGTTTTATTTTGATATAATGGCAAATTTAGAGAAAAGTTGCAAGAATAGCACAAAGCCTTGGATCTACTTAGTGGAGAACGGTATTTAGAAACCAAGACCTAGGTGTGAGGCACACTCAGAACGACTCATTTGCATGGGTGGTGGGAGAGACAGTGTGACTTCCTGCTTGTAAGTTCTCCAGATCAGTGATTCTCAGACGTTAGCATGTATCAGTCACCTGGTGAGCTTGAAAATGCAGTTTCTGGTTCAGTAGGTCTGGAGTGGGGGGTGCACATTTCTAAAAAGCTCCTAGTTGATGCTGACTCAGCCTGTAGGAGGACACACTTCAAGGAGCAATAGTTCCCAGAAGCGAGGTCATGATTTGCTACTTGCAAGTTCTTGATGTATTTTTGGATGATGTCAGAAAAACAAGACTCTCATTTTCACAGACCTGATGGAACAGTGATTCGCAGCTGAGGCAGGGATGGCTCAGAAAAAGAGCATCTAGCTCAAACTTCTAAAATGTTCTATTTCACCAGCAGAAAGAGTTGTTTCACCAATGTATACTAACCAAGGCCCAAGAAAATATTTTACTTGTGAAAGGCTTTTTTCTCCCATGTACACAATGAGACAACACCTGGATTTATATATAAATGAATATATTAACACTCATGTTCGTGGGGGAAAACTAAAGCTCATTCACAATTAGTATTACTAATATCAGGACATAAAATCAATCATCCTTTCCTTCAGGCTCACCATCCAGCATACTGATTCTGGCTTATTTGTAACTGAAATGTAATTCACGTATTTTAAAATTTGCCTTGTATGTTAATTACGTTCACAGAGGGCAATGATCACTGCTATCTAATTCCAGAACACATTCATCATCCTACAAAGAAAACACATACCCATTCACATTCACTCCTTATTCTCTGCCCCAGTCCCTGGCAGGCACTACATGGATTTCCCTATTCTGGGCATGATGGAATCATACAAACAATATATGTGTGTGGCCTTAACTGTCTGGCTTTTTTCACTTAGCATGTCTTCAAGGTTCATCCATATTGTAGTATGTCAGTACTTCCTTTTTCGTGGCAGAATAATATTCCACATGGATCTACTGTTTATCCATGCATCAGTTGATGGGTATTTGGGTTTCCACATTTGGCTCTTATTAATGATGCCAACAGCATGATTATTATTAATGCTGTACACCTTTTTGTGTTAATATGTTTTCAATTCTGTATATCTGCAGTGATATTGCTGGGTCATATGGTAATTCTGTTTAATTATTTGAGGACCTGCCAATTTTCCCAAGTGGCAACACCATTTTACATTCTCACCAGCAATGTACAAGGGTTCCAATTTCTCCACATCTTATCCATACTTGTTATTGTCCAAGTTTCTGGTTATAGTCATCCTAATGTGTGTGCATGGCCACACTGTGGTTTCAATGTGCATTTCCCTATTTGACTAATGATGCTGAGAATCTTTGCAAATGCTTATTGGCCATTTGTATATCTTATCTGGAAAAAAAATGTCTACTCAAATCATTTTAGTTGGGTTATACGTCTGTATTAGTTTGCTAGGGCTGCCATAATAAAATACCACAGACTGGGCAACTTGAACAGAAATTTATTTTTTCACAGTTCTGGAGGTCCAAGGTCAGGGTGCTGGCAGATCTGGCTTCTGGTGAGTGTTCTCCTGCTGGTTTGCAGATGGCCACCTTCTTGCTGTATTGTCATACGCCCTTTTCTCTGGGCACACACAACCCCGGTGTCTCTCTCCTTATAAAGACACTAGTCATGTTGGAATAGGGCTCAACCTTATTACCTCATTGAACCTTAATTATCTCCTTAAAGGCCCTATCTCCAAATAGTCACATTGGGAGTTAGAGCTTCACCATCTGAATGGGGGCTGGGGGTGCAATGCAGCTCATAAAAATGTCTTTATTATTGGGTCTGGCTTATTCTTACTAGAATATCCTTTTATCCTTTCGACCCAGCGATCCCACTTCTGGGAATATTTCCTAAGAATCCCGAAACACCAGTGAGAAAGAATATATGCACCCCTATGTTCACAGCAGTTACTAACAACAGCCAAGGTCTGGAAACAGCCCAAGTGCCCATCAGCAGATGAGTGGATATAGAAGCTGTGGTACATTTGCACAAAGGAATACTACATGGCTGTAAAAAAAAAGAAGAAACTCTTACCTTTTCGACATCATGGATAGACATATAGAGTATTGTGCTAAGCAAAATAAGTCAGAGAAAGACAAATACCGTATGATCTCACTTATATGTGGCATCTAATGAACAAAATAAACTGAAGAACAAAATGGAACCAGAAGCATAGATAGATACATGGAACAGACTGGATGGTGCCCAAGGGGATGGTGGGTTGGGGACTGAATAAAGAAGGTGAAGGCATTAGCTAAAGAACATGTATGCATACCCACGGGCACAGACAACAGTGTGGTGAAGGCCAAGGGGGGGAGGGGTGGGTGGAGGTGGACAAAGGAAGAAATGGGGGACATCTGCAATAATGTCAACATGAAAAAGTTTTATTTTCTTAATGTTTTTATTGATTTTAGAGAGAGAGAAGGGAGAGGGAGATAGAAACATAGATGAGAGAGAAACATCAATCAGCTGCCTCCTGCACCTCTACTGAGGATCAAGCCCACAACTTGGGCATGTGCCCTGAGTAGGAATCGAACCAGGAACCTCTTGGTGCATGGGTTGATGCTCAACCACTGAACCATTCTGGCCAGGCAACATTAAAAATTAAAAAAAATTTTTTTGGACAAAGGAGGCAAGAGTATACAATGAAATAAAGACCAAAAAAAGCCAAAGAAGAAAAACTCCAGTATTGTTTGTCATCCACATGTATTCCTTATTCCACATTGACTCACAAGGCTGAGCAGAGCTTTATTATGCAAAGATGATTTCTTGTTATGGGAAACTTGTTCAGACCATTTAGAGCTTCATATTTTCTGTACAGAAAAGTTCTGATTGTCTGACTGTTATTAAATCTTATCCGGCCCCAACAGGATATAGCAGATGAGTAATTTTAACACCATCTCATAATCTTTAAAACAATCTAAACAATCAGGTCAAATACTTGAGAGAATAATTAGAGACTGGTGGAGCTAGTAAGGCACTTGGACCAGAAAACCACAGGAAGCAAGAGTCCTTCCCAAAGCACAGCCACCGCTCTCCACAGGTGTCTTACTGGGGCCACACATACAATGGGCCATGGAAAGCCTGGCTGGTGTGGCTCAGTGGCTGAGCATTGACCCCTGCACCAAGAGGTCGCTGGTTCAATTCCCGGTCAGGGCACATGCCCCGGTTGTGGGCCCGATCCCCAGTGGGGGGCTGCAGGAGGCAGCCAGTCGATGTTCTCTCTCATCGATGTTTCTATCTCTCTCCCCCTTTCCCCTCCTTTCTCTCTAAAAATCAATAATTAAAAAAAAAAAATCGAAAACCAAAGGGCCATGGAAAAATCAAGGCAAATTTGCATTTACTGAGAGCTATCCCTTTGGGCATAAACCTTAACACAGAAATACTCATCTTCCCTGAATTACCGGTACTAGTTTCCAAAGAAAATGAGCCATGGCGTTTGCTCCCTTCCGGCACTCCCACCACCACCAAACCTGAGCCTGAGATGCTCTAAGTGGCATCTCATGACTGCTCTGCAGCTACACCAGAAATGGAACCAGACAGAAGAGACACAGGAGAACATTTGACCCTTATAGGCTACAAGGCCAAATGCAAAAATCTACCGTATTTCTATGTAATAGTATCAGATTGGAAAAGAAGATTTTGGAAGCACTCCCTGTAATAGCATCAAAAATATGAACTATTTAGGGATAAACTTAAAAATATGGGAAGAGCTACTCAAAGAAAACGAAAAAGCATTGTGAAAGCAGACCTACAACAGTGACAGTTGTGCCGTGATCGTGGATTCATGACGTTGATAGGATGGCAACTCTTCCCAAACTGATGTATAGATTCAACACAATTCCGATCAAAATCCCAGAAGACTTGCATTTAAATAGAGAAAAGCTGATTCTAAAAGATATATGGAAGGACAAAGAAACTACAAGAGCAAAATAATTGGGGGATGGGGGATGAAGTTGGAAAAACCACGCTGATTTTTAAGACTACAATTTTTTTTTTATCCTCACCTGAGGACATTTTCTAATATTTTGTTCAGATAAAGTGGGAAGGAGAGAGAGAGAGAGAAACATCGACGTGAAAGGGACACATTGAGTGGTTGCCACCCACGTGACCCTACCAGGGCCGGGGACAAACTGCAACCGAGGTACATGCCCTTAGCGGGAACGGAACCCGGGTCTCTCCGGACTGCAGGCCGACGCTCTAACTGCAGAGCCAAACCAGCCAGGGCAAGACTACAATTTTTAAGCTAATAATCAAAACAGTGTGTTATTGGCATAAGAGTAGACATCCAGATCAGTGTACTAGAATAGAGCTCAGACAAACCTTCACTACATGGTGAATTGATTTTCAACAAAGATGCCAAGGTAATTCAGCAGAAAAGGGCCATTTTTCAACAAATAGGGCTTGAATAACTGGATATAAAAATAAAACAAAAACTCAACTTTTACCTCATACCAAACATCAAATTAACTTGAAATGAGTCATAGACCTAACTATAAAAGCTAAAACTGCACAACTTCTAGCAGAAAATAAGAAATCCTTCTGATTTTGGAGTAAGCAGAGATTTCTCAGCCCACAGAAAGTATAAACCATAAAAGAAAAAAATGCATAAAAATTGGACTTCATCAAAATTTAAAACTTCTGCTCTTCAAAACGTATCAAATAAACAAAAAGGCAAGCCACTGATAGGGACAAAATATTTACAATATATACATCTCATAAAGATTTTTATCCAGAATACAGAAAAGAATTCTTACAGCTCAATAAAAAGATAACCCAAAAAAAGTTGGCAAAATATCTGAACAGCCGCTTACCAAAAGATACAAATGTCAAATAAGCACATGAAAAGATACCCTCCATCATCAGAGAAATGCATATTAAAACCACAAGGAGAGAGCGCTACATATCCACTAAAGTACCTCCAATGAAAAAACGATGGCATTCTAGGAATATACCCTAAGAAACCTGAAAACCAATCAGAAAGAATATATGCACCCCCATGTTCATAGCAGCACTATTTACAATAGCTAAGATCTGGAAACAACCCAAGTGTCCATCAGTAGATGAGTGGATTAAAAAGCTGTGGTACATGCCCTGGCGGGTTTGGCTCAGCGGTTAGAGCATCGGCCTGCAGTCCGGAGAGACCCAGGTTCGGTTCCCGCTAAGGACACACACCTCGGTTGCAGTTTGTCCCCGGCCCTGGTTGGTTGTGCGGGTGGCGACCACTCGATGTGTCCCTTTCACATCGATGTTTCTCTCTCTCTCTGTTCCTCTCTCTCCCTCCCACTCTACCTGAACAAAGAATGGAAAAATGTCCTCAGGTGAGGATGATTAAAAAAAAAAAAAAAAAAAAAGCTGTGGTACATGTACACAATGGAGTACTATGCAGCTGTAAGAAAGAAAGATCTCTTATCCTTTGAGATGGCATGGAAGGACCTGGAGAGTATTATGCTAAGCAAAACAAGCCAAACAGAAAAAGACAAATATCACATGATCTCACTTATTTGTGGAATATAATGAACTAAACAAACTGATGAACAAAATTATCCCAGAGACATAGAGGTGGGGTACAGACTGACAAGCCTCAGAGAAGGGGGGTTGGGGGGAGAAGAGATAAACCACAGAACTTACATGCATGTATGTATGACCAATGAACATAAACAACAAAGCTGGGGATGGGATGGGGGGAAGGGGAGGAGGGTGTCAATGGGGGAAAAATGAGAAACATCTGTAACAAAAACAAATTAATAAATTAAAAACAAACAAACAAACAAAAAACAATGGCAATACTGCCCTGGCCGGTTTTACTCAGTGGTTAGAACATTGGCCCTCAGACCAGAGAGTCCTGGGTTCAGTTCCTGCTAAGGGCACATACCTCAGTTGTGATTTGTCCCTGGCCCTGTTTGGGGTCGTGTGGGTGGCAACCACTCGATATGTCTCTCTCACATCAACATTTCTCTCTCTCTCTTCCTCCCTCTCTCCCTCCTGTTCTATCTCAAGATAAATGCAAAAAAAAAAAAAAAAAGTGTCCTCAGGTGAGGATAAAAAAACAAAACAATGGCAATACCAAGCATTGACAAAGATGTGGAGTAACTGAAACCTTGTACTACATTGCTGGTAGGAATGCAAACTGGAAAAGTGTCCCGGTTTCCTCTAAGGTTACTCATGTACTTACCATAAGATTCAGCAATCCCACCCCCAGGCACTGACCCAAGAGAAGGGCAACCATATACCCACACATGGCAGCTTTATTCATAATAGATCAAGACTCAAGATAGTCTGCAACAACCTAGATGTCCATCAACATGAAAAGCTACAAACTGTGGTATATCCATACAACAGAATAATACTCAGCAATAAAAAGGAACATATTACTGATATGCATAGTATCATGGATGAAGCTCAACATGGATGGATTTCAAAACTATTATACTGAGCAAAAAATGTCAGACACAGAGTACTTATTGTATTTGAGACTCTAGAAAAGTCCAATGTAACTTACAGTCGCAGGAAGCAGAACAGTGCTAGTTGCTGGGGTGGAGGGGAATGACAACCCATGAATGTAAGGGAACTCTTTGGGTGATGGGAATATTCTACATCGTGATAGTAACGGTGATTGCATAGGTGTTCACATTTGTCTAAATTCCTCAAACAGTGGGTGCGTTTTATTATATGTGAATTATACTTTAAGAAAGTTGACTGTGTTCACAGAGGATATCATGGTTCGTCTCACATTCTTTCCTCCCAAGTAAAACTAGAGTCGATATTGTGACAATTCCAAGTCAGTAGGCCTTTTAAATATCCTGAACAAATGTTTACATGTTACCTTGTAATTAACATTGCCCATTTTCAATAGAATTGAAAATGGCTTAAGAAAAAGCTAAAATTAGAAAATATTTCCAATTTGGTTTTTGTCTCATGCTTACTTTGAAATAGAATCTGCACTAATCTTTGTTGGGGTTAGAGGAAGTCCTACAATACCTTCTGCCTCATCCTGATGCCTGAGCCACTTGAGAGACGAAAGGAGTCAGGCAGATGGAGAATCAGTATGTCAGATTTATTGCTGAAGAAGTCTTAGGTTAGGAGATGTGATTTAGGTTTGTGCCAACAATGCACCTAATATCAAACCCAGACTCAGACAGAGCTGCTCATCAAGCATGGCAGGCCTGCACAGACGCAGAGGGGCGGCGAGCCTTCACTGCCGAGCTTACGCATCTGCAGTGGTGGCTCTCTGCAGGCATGATAAATCCAAAACGAGAGAAAGGAGCTTTTCTGTCCAGTTATTTATGCTAAACGCCCCCTCCTGAGGGGTGGGAGGGAAGAGCGAGGTCAGGGTTCTTTGGTCAAAGGATGCCCAGAGAACAAGGTGAAGACCAACGTTTTCAACCAACCTTTCTTCCACCCTGGCACACACAGCAGCTGAAATTCACACCACACACATGAAGGCACAAGTCATGGCACGCTACCTAGTGGACATACTGAATTGCAAGTGACTCAAGGGGCATATTTCAATTTACTTTAGCAATGACTAAATCATTTACAACTTTCCGTATCATTTGTTAAAAAGGAATGCATTACCTTCTCAATCCTAAAATGACATCAGTTACAAAATACACCATCAGTTTAATAATGTCTCAGAAAAAGTACATTTAATATAGCCATTGATTTGAAGATGATTATGAAACTATGGTTCTTGTGTCAACTCACAACTCACTGAGATACATTATGTCATGAAACCAAAGTCCAGAGTTAATTTAGAAGGGTTTCTGACTCACAAAGCCTGAAATTAAAGAAATGATTGACCATTTTCCTACTGCTGGGAAGGGTAATGAAACAACCTTTTGACATCATGACATAAAGCATCATTTTCAAACAGAAAAAGCTATACTGATCAGTTATAATCATGGAAACTCCAGCTTTCTGAGACACTTTTTGATTTAAGTCTTCATTATAGTTTTGCTATATAACATCAAGTTAAAAGCTTTTCATATTTAGACTACTGCCATAAAATGTCGTACATGCACCCCAACTGCAACAGACTTGGGTTCTGTGATCTATACCTTGCACGACTTTTCAATGTTTATGTGGCACATGTTAGCAGATTTAAGATAAATACTCTCCAATCTAAGAACCTATTATCTATAGAATATATGATTCTCAAATGATCAGGCATATAGAATGTATAGTGTTCTGACAAATGAGTGTCTGAGCATACAATTTTCAACCAAGAAAAATACAAATCATATTCAATATAATTTTAGTGTGTAGTATTATGTATATTAAACATCTTTATATGGCTACCTTGAACATCGATTATTTTTCTTTCTGTTTCAGAAGAATTCATTACTACAGTAAGTTTAGTAAATGTCTGAGTATCAGTATTCACATCCTTAGAAAATAAAGTTTGCACTTTCCTCTTCATGCATAAGCATCGTTTGGGGCCTAGAGAAATGAGCTGCCTTTCTTCTCCTAATTCAGTATTTCTCTTTCCCCTCCATCTCAGTCTCAGCCGTCTTATGTCTTACACTGAGTAGGAGAGACGAGCGTGGCCCCCCGGTGTCCATTCGAAGCACACACGGTTCCTAGCAGCATCTCGTGGGACATGCGGCCCTGGGTCTCGCCGCTCCTGGGGCCGAGGCATAACCTCACACCAGGAGCAACCCCCGACTGATACCCATCGGTCCTCAATATCAAAAGCAGTGACTTCTCACTTTCAGATAAAGAAAACAATTACAAAGAAGTTCTCTTCCTTGCTTAAAATCAGAAGAAAGTGGCAAATATCTCCAAACTAATTCAAGCTCTTCATAGAAAAAGCGAGCATTTACCGAGTATTTCACATACGAGATACAAAGTGCTTTATATATTTTATTTTCACATAAGAAAGAAATAAATTAATCTAATTTTTCCAAAGCTAACAGCACAAATTAATAGGCAAATCTTTAAAATACAGAAAAAAACTAATTCACAAATTACACAATAAACAAATATCTATTAACTCAAAACAACATAACTTCTCTAGACACCCAACTATCCACCCTTTGAGAATATTTCTTATTCAACAAAATAAAATATAATTAATATTTGTTTTTTGGGGGGGAATCACTCTAAAATTAACCTCTTCAACCAGAGCTAATTTTGTAGGACAACTTTGGGAGCAAATGAAATACTTTGCAAGGCAGGTGCCGAGGCCTCTGATTCTGAAGAGAGGTAAACATTCCACTAGAAGAAAAAAATTTTAAAATCATCTCAGAAGAACAGAAACCATTACTTACATGCTCCAGCAGGGTAAGATTTCTTCATATAAAATAACTTACTTTCATCTCCAAAAAGGATAAAACTAATTTCACACCAATAAGAGGATCCTGAGTGTCAGAAGTTCACCCAGCAGTTCTATATAAACTGCACTCCATTGTGAGCACTAGAAAAACAATAATCCACATTAGTAATGACAATATTGCCTTGTGGATGGAACCATGGTGTTTCAATTAACTATTTCTTCAGTATATCCTTCTCTTTATGAGATCGTACTATGAACCACATTTCAGTTTCCTTGTATGCTGTGCCTAAGTTATTCCCTCATTGGAACTCTAATAACATACCTACATGGTTTATTTTTACAAAGATATAATTTAGTTATTTAAAATTGTGATTATTTCTCATTTTATTGAGCTGTTCCAAACAAGTCATCTAGAAAAGGAATTCTCAACCATCAGCTGAAAAGGTATAAGCAAAAGATGTTACTTTTAAGATTTTAAGCTTTTATTTATTTATTTTTCTTAAATATGTGTTTATTAATTTTAGAGAGAGAGAGAAACATCAACTGGCTGCCTCCTGCACGCCCCCTACTGGGGACTGAGCCGGCACCTGGGCGTGTGCCCTGATTGGGAATGGAACTGGACACTTCTCACGTGCATTGGACATCGCTCAGCCAACTGAGCCACACCAGCCAGGGCAAGGTTTTTAAGCTTGTAAAAATAAAGAAAATATTGCTTTTGACTGGCACAACATTGCGATACAATTTATGATGTAACTATAAGAGCCATTCATTTAAAAAATGCACGTCTTAAAAATGACTCGCTTGTGGTAAGGACTATCTACTTTAACAATTAAAAAAATAAAACCATCATTCTTACTATTTATCAGTACACTTCCCAGGTCCAACAAATACTGAAGGTGGTAACTACCATGGTTATAATAATTTTACAGTCAAAACAAGCATAGGTCAGAATTAAGAGTATCTATAGAAAACATCCAGAATGTATACATTTGCATGCATTTCCAGCCAAACTTTCAAAGACTCTACATATAACCAAGTAACAACTTTGAGTCAAAATGAACATAAAAAATACTCAAGCTTTGTGATCAAGTTACTCTAAAGAGAGTGAATAGCAACAGCAGTGTATTTTTAGGAGGGAGAAAAATCACCTACTTGCTTTATCATCAAAAAGCCAACAAGTCAACATTTCAATAACACTGGCCATCAAGTTAGTCACTATTTGAGCATTCACTTGCAAGTTTGTCTTTAAAGGTATTCACTCATATATTTGGATTAAGTTTATTAGCCAAAAACCACTGTAGTCAGAATACTAATCTTAAGAAGTTATATCATTAACTTATCAAAGCATAGTCCAAACACTGCATAACAATTCTACCCTTTAGTTTTTATATGTCTCATCTGAAAAACTTATTTTACAAACAGGAGTTTTCTCCAGAGCAAATGCCCGTATGCCTAAACCTTAAAGCAAAAGGGTAGATTCAAATAGCTCCTGCTAAGCTTCATCGGGCTTTGATAAAAACAGAGCCATCTGGGGGTGCCGCACCATCTTCCTTCTCCGTTACAGTCTCTACAGTCCCAGAAGCTGACACAATAACCATTGTTTTATTTGCTGAAACTGGCTTTTGTTTTTCAGCAATAGCTGCACAAACAGCAACGATCTCATCACTTTCAAAGTCATAGTCGGGAATGGACTTTGGGGAGGCGTGTGTGACTTCGGCCGGTGCTTCGCTCTTTCTCACCCTCTGGGCCACCTTCTGCTGCTGCTGGAGCTTTCTCGCCCAAGAGAGGTCTTCTTTCCATATCTCAGGGTTCATCGGATAGATGTGAAGGGCCACTTGAAAACTTCGAATGGCCTAGGAAAAGAAAAGGTCAGGTTTTTCGTTTGCTTTGTTTTAAAAAATGAATAATATATTTAACATAATCCACAATATCTATATCTGTCTGTCTATCTCTCTCTATATATATACATATACACACACACACACACACATTATGTAAATATACATATATATCTTCCTTTTACCATGAAAGAATGTAAGGATGGACGTTAGGGCTGTACCCTAACCACTGATAATGATTATGATGAAGGAAAAAAAACACAGGGTACAAAAGCATGAAAGCAGCTGACAACTGCTGATGAGGATTAAAAGTCCATCAAAATAGAGGCACTGATATACAAGGCAAATACACTACTCAGTTTCTGCCGATCAGCAAAGACATAAATCTAGGGATTTCCTGGGCTACCCCATGGTCAGGAAGGTACCAGGAATGCACAATGTTGAAGCCAAGAGTTCAGATCACAATAATGCTAACACGTAGTGAGTGTCACAGGTGACAAAGACAGACATTGCATAAAGACAAAAGAGTCAATTCCCCTGGATTATATAACACTAATAAATACATATGTACCCAACATCAGAACACCTAAGTATATAAAGTAAACATTGACATAACTGAAGGAAAGAACATCAATAAGGAAGTAGAAGACGTGAACAACACTACAGAGCAAGAGACCAAACAGCCCTACATAGAACATTTCACCCAATGGCAGCAGAATAGACATTCTTCTCAGGTACAAATGGAACATTTTCCAGGAGAGATTATGTGTTACACCACAAAACAAGTCGTAATAAATTTAAAAAGACATACAACCATCTTTTCTGACTAAAATGGAATAAAACTACAAATGAATGATAATTGGAAAATTCACAATTATGTAGAAATTAATGTACTCTTAAAGAATCAGTAAGTTCAAAAAGAAATCAAAAGAAATTAGAAAATATCTTGACACAGATGAAAATGAAACTACACTAAAACTATGGGATGCAGCTAAAGTAGAACTAAGAGGGAAGTTTATAGCACTAAATGCCTATATTAAAAAAGAAAGGTCTCAAGTAAAAGGAAAAAAACCTACCTTTACACCTCAAAACATTAGAAAATGAAGACCAAACAAAGCCTATAATCATTTTCCAACATATACACCCAATTCTGCATAAAAATTGAAATAATTACTCATAGAGATATCCCCAACTATTGACTTAATTTATTGCCAGTTCTATTTATGTATTTTCTTATGTTTTTATACATGGGGTAGGCAAAGTAGGTTTACATTTGGACTATACAAAACACAGAGTTTATTCTTGTATTATTATTTATTAATTACTGTATTATTTTCCATTCGAACAACTTTTGCCCACCTAATTTTGCCCACCCCTGTAGTAAAAATTATTTTATGTCAAACATTTTAGCTTGTTTTCAATATATTTTCCATAGCATCACTTCATTATGACATTGAGTAATGTTTAACCATTACAGTCTTTTTTAACAAATAAAAGTAGTTTTTATTTTATATATACAATAATTGATTTTCTCTCTCGCCATTCCAGTCTTTCAAAAGAACAGTTTACATAAAAATTACAACTTTGTATTTTTTTCCAAATAGAGCCCTAAAAAACATTAAATAAAAACAAAATAACACTCTTAATTCCTCCAAGAATTTCCAAATATAATGAACAGAACCATATCAATAGAAAAAAAATAACAGCTGAACAAATAGTACCTCTTATTTAAAAACTTAGAAGTTTTACACTAAAAGGCTGAGGGTTCATTTCCCAGTCAGGGCACATATCTAGGTTGTAGGTTCGATCTTGGTCGGGGCATGTATGTGAGGCAACCAGTCGATGTTTCTCTCTCTCTCTCCTTCTCTCTCTCCCTTCCTCTCTCTCTGAAATCAATAAACATATTCTCAGGTAAAGATTAAAAAAAAAAACTTAAAATTTTAATAAGTTTGCTTTTATTGGTTGAGTCAAAGTATCTTTTATCTCACTTATTGTCTATTTTCTTTATAGGACAATTTTTTGTTAAACATTCTGTCCTACAGATTTTTTTCCCCATTACCAGAGGCAGTCATACACAAAAGCATAACGACTTGTAAATCTTTAATAAAGGAGAGATGGGGAAAAGTACTATATTCACTTTTGTTTGTTTTCCTGTTAACCTATTAGAAAACCAAATTCCTTGAACTTTTTTCCAACTCAGGTCTGATTTCAGTCTGTAGGAGAGCAAGATGCCTGTGTTAAATGGCAAGGAAAGAAAACGGCCTTTGGTTAAACAGGTATCTGTTACTGTGATTTCATTTCAGATTAACCTTTTTAAGTTACTTTACTCCAATCAATTCTTTTCAATTAAAAATTTCCTATGTATAATTTCTGAGTATTTGACAAAGACCTTTTTTTTTTTTTTGTAATTAGAAATAACATATTTACAAGAGTACCAGAAAAACCTAAGTTTCTACAACTTACTAAGCCACTACCAGCAAAGTTAAATTCAGGGTTTACTAATTTTAGCCTTTAAAGAAACTTGTTTTTTTGTTGTTTGTTTCATGAAAACAAGGAAAATATTAATTTAATGACAAAAAAGAAATTTGGCACTACTATATTAGATGTGCAAACACTTTTTAGGCAATTAGCTGTCAGGAATATATAAGCCCCCCCAAAACAAAACAGGATGATTCTCACACCTAACTCTCACCCATGTGGCCTTTCTGACCTACAAGGCACAGTCCAAACAAGTTGACAGATGCATTAAGTACTAGTTTATAGTAAACTTCACACAATACGTATTTCATTTTTATAAGCTTCTATCATTCCCCATTTTCCCCCTAAGCCTAGCAACTTTTCAGTCCAAATATTTATCACCATTATGCTTCCATATTCTACTTTCTTCCTTCTCCAACATAATCTTTTAGTGGTTTATCTCTATGGTGATTCTCATACCACTTTATAATGTGGTAACTTTAAAGATAAAAAGAACTAACCCCAAAATTATTTATTTTATATCTAAATACGGTTTACCAAATGCCAATATTTTATGTAAAATGTTTTATTAATTTCCTTGATTCCAAATACCTGAAAAATACTCTGACCCTGATATAATTGGTGTTTATGATAGAAATAACTATAACAACTTTGATCTGTATTTGTGGTTTAATACCTTTAAGAAGTAATTTGCTACTTAATTTTGTACAGATTTTATAAATGACTAATTTTGGGGTTCAACTGATCAAAACACGTCAAAATAAAATTTTAGCATTATAATCATATGACCTCCTTACCAAGACTATCTCTCCTAATCCAAGCTGAGCACGCCCCAAAGTTTGCCAAGACTCCCATGAATGTGGATTTCTCTGGACGGCCATTTCTGCTGCATGAACTGCAGGAAACATTTCATGAAGCGACATTAGGACCTACAGTCAAAAAAAGAAACAAAACCTGTCAGTAGTAATATTCATAAACTAGCAAACTACTAATAGATAACCACACATAAATAACCCTTTTCATTTTTATTTATTTAAACTTATCTTTATTGCTGAATGTATTTCAGATGTCCCCTCTATGTTCCCCCCACTGACCCCTCCTCCCCAATCTCGCCCTCCTCCTGCCTTCCCCACACTATTGCTTGTGTCCACTGGTTTTGCATATATGTATAGAAGTTCTTTGGTTTATCTCATCCCACTCTCCCTCCCCCCTTCCCTTTAGGTTCATCAATCTAAACACCAATTTGTATTTCTTAATTCCTTCTTTTCACCCATCCTCCCAGCCCCCTCTCATTTGGCAAGCAACAAAAAGTTCTCTGTATTTATGAGTCTGTTTCTGTTCTGCTTGCTCTTTTTGTTTGTAGATTCAATTGATGATAGATATGTACTTGTTGCCATTTTATTGTTCATATTTTTGTTCTTATCCTTCAAGAAGACTCATCGACATTTCATATAATACTTGTTTGGTGGTGATGAACTCCTTTAGCTGTTTCTTGTATAGGAAACTCTTTATATGGCCAACAATTCCAAAGATAGCTTTGCAGGATAGAGTATCCTTGGTTGTAGGTTGTTGCTTTTCATCACTTTGAATATCTCTTGCCATTCCTTTCTGGCCTGCAAAGTTTCTTTTGAGAAATTGGCTGACAGTCTTATGGGAGCTCCTTGTAGGTAACTAACTGCATTTCTCTTGCTGCCTTTAAAATTCTCTCTTTGTCTTTAACCTTTGGCATTTTGATGATGATGTGTCTTGGTGTGGACCTCTTTGGGTTCATCTTGTTTGGGACTCTCTGTGCTTCCTAGACTTGTATGTCTGTTTCTTTCACCAAGTTAGGAAAGTTTTCTGTCATTATTTTTTCAAATAGGTTATCAATTGCTTGCTCTCTCTCTTTTCCTTCTAGCACTCCCATGATGCGAATGTGGGCACACCTAAAGTTGTCCCAGAAGCTCCTTACACTGTCCTTATTTTTTTGGATTCTTTTTCTTTAAAAAAAAATTTTCTTTTTCTTTATTGACTTCAGAGAGAGGAAGGAAGAGAGAGAGAGATAGAAACATCGATGAGAAAGAACATCAATTGGCAGACTCCTCAATGTCTCCCACTGAGGATTTGGCCCCCAACCTGGGCATGTGCCCTGACCGAGAATCAAACTGCTGACCTCTTGGTGCATGGGCTGAGCCACACCAGCCGGGCTGGATTCTTTTTTCTTTTTGCTGCTCTGATTGGGTGTTTTTTGCTTCCTTATATTCCAAATCTATGGTCTGCTTCTTGGCTTCACCTACTCTACTATTGACTCCCTGTAAATTATTCTTTATTTCAGTTAGTGCATCCTTCATTTCTGACTGGTCCTTTTTTCTGTTGTTGATGTTCTCACTAAGTTCCTTGGGGTCTCCTTAAGTTCCTTGAAGTTCTCACCAAGTTCCTTGAAGGTTCACTAAGTTCCTTGAGCATCCTTATAACCAGTGTTTTGAACTCTGCATCTGAATGATTGCTTATCTTCATTTTATTTAGTTCTTTTCCTGGAATTTTGTTCTGTTCTTTCATTTGGGACATGTTTTTTTGTCTCCTCATTTTGGCTGCCTCCCTGTGTTTGTTTCTATGTATTAGGTAGAGTTGCTGTCTCCTAGGCTTCATAGGGTGGCCTATTGTTGTAGGTGTCCTGTAGGGTCCAGTGGCACAGCCTCCCTGGTCACCCCAGCTGGGCCCTCAAGGTGCACCCCTAGTGTGGACTGTTCACCCTTCTCTTGTAATTGAGTCTTGATTGGCAAATCAATGGGAGGGATTTACTCAGCTGATCAGCTGCAAGGACTGGCTAAGCCCTCTGACCACTGGCCTCTGACTACCTCGGAGGATCAACTGTGCAGGGGCCCACCACATAGACCAAGACTTACTTCAGCAGGGCTCTGGTACCCACTGAGTTCACTCATTGAGTGTGTCACTTGTGGAAGTGGATGGGTGGTGGTGCTTCGATGTAGTCTGAAGCTGTCCACTGGGTGTCCTGACTCTGGGGCAAGGTCAGCCACTGCCCGTGTTCTATCCAGGACTACCTGGCATAAACTACAGAGTGATCTGCAGATGGCTGCTTCTTGTGCTGGGCTTGGAGGTGTCTAGGAAAAGTCAAGTTGTGAACCAAGGCTGGTTGCTTCTAGTGCCAGGCCTGGGGCCACTTAACGAGAGAGATATGGGGCTCGCTGTGGCCAGATGTTTGAGAGATTTTAGGAAAATCTGAAGCAGGATCCAAAACAGACCAATCCTATGGTAAAACCTTTGGAAACAGCTTGGGTGGGCCCAAAAGTTGGGTGGGGCAGGGCTTCAGGGAATCACCAGGGCGGGGCAAACATTATAAGCCAGGTTGCTGGAGTCCCAGATATGGCATCAGTCTGCTGCCCCAGGGAAGGGCTCACCAAAGGAACAAGGGCCTCCCACAGCAGGTCTGTCCAGGAGAAAGCCACCTCTCCAGTTCTCACCCAAATGCCAAACAATTCAGTTCTCCCTGTGCGTCTCTGGTGCCTTTCAAGCTGCCTCCCCAACACTGGAGCCCAGAAGGAACGAGTCTGAGTAAGTCTATGTACAGGCCCTTTAAGAGGTGCTCCCTGGGACTCCAGAAGCCTCAGCCTCCCTCAGGCTCAGTCCCTGCTGGTTTTACAGCCAAAAATAATGGGCACTTCTCTTCCTGGCACTAGAACCCTGGGTTCGGTGCCTGGTGTGGGATGGGGACCCCTCACTCCTCAGGGAGGACCTTCCCAGCCGAGGTGTCCTTCTGATTTTGATCCACCACACATGGGTGTGGGAGCAGCGTCCCACACATCCACTCCTCCTACCAGGCTCCATGTGGCTGCTGCTTTAATCTTGTAGTTGTAGGACTTCCATTCAGCTTGATGTCAGGCGGTTCTGACGGATGGTTCTGTAGTTTAGTTGTAATTCTGATGTGGTTGTGGGAGGAAGCGATGCCATGTTACCTATGCCGCCATCTTGACCGGAAGTTCCACCCCCTTTTTATTTTTAAAAATATCTTTTAGTCTGGTAAACTGAACATTTCAGTGGTTTTGACCCTCTCCAGTGTCATTCAGGGTCAGGAGTTAGATTCTTCCTCCTACTATAAAAATGTAAACTATTCCCTTTCCAGTTACTGAAGCCTACGTCCATCTGGTCAATACCATGCAGCCACACTCCTGCCACGGCAGCTCCGAGCTCTTTGAGCTCTCAGGCCACTTCTATTTATTCTATTCACAATGTGGATGTTAGGGCACTCCAGGTCTTGCTGATAAACTAGGTAAAGTTAAATTTGTTCAACCACCCATCCAGTCCCTAGTGAACACCTTCCTGCGATAAAAATCATGCAACTGGGTTCTTCATACCACACACCAGAAAAATCAGTGAGTTCCAAAACCTGCCATTTTCAGTCTATGGAAAAGGGTTGGATAGTGTCTAAAATCTTTGGGACCATATGCATTTCACAAAATGTATGAAACAAACATCATTATCAAGTTCCAAATTAAACAACTGACAGCATATAGTTCACCAGAAATCCTGCCTTTAACAGGTACATATTCAAGATTGTAAACGACTTATCCACATGAAGGTCCTCGTACCACTTCTATTCAGGAGATCTACTTTGGCCTTTTCCTGGATAAACTAAGTCACGGCTGATACAGAAAGTGTCCTGTGTCTGAGACCATCACCAGGAAAGGCAGGCTCGGTGAGTAGACGAAGGCGGCACTGCAGCGATTCCTGCCAAAAACACGTCCAGTGCTCTGAGATTTGAAGTCTCCGGTAACTTAATCCAAGTGCCCAGAGGTTTTCTTTATAAACTTTCCCACAAAATATCAGAAATGTATTTTTAAGTACAAATGTTATTTTTAAACTATTAATAAATTGAGTCTATTCTGACCTTTTGCTAAGGACGAGGCCATTTGCAGGGAGATATCATCATCTAGAATCCAGTTCATCAGAAGAGACTAAGTGATTGCTAAGCCCACTGCAATTAGTTTCCAAGGGAAGCAAACACATTCATGTATTTAGGAGAGCACCTGTGACTTCTGAAAAGATGTCCACCTGCTCATATTGTACCACAGTTACACTGAAATCATAGTTAACTTCATTGTGAAGATAAACAAATTTCTAATTTGATACATAAGGAAAGTTGTAAATTGTTCCCAAATAAATTGTATTTTAAAAAGAAAAGGGGAGGAAATGCTATTTTGGTTCTTCATGCTCACCACGCAAATACAGTTTCATGATGAAAGCGAACTTCACAGTCCTTACCTGTGATTTCATCTCATACAGGGTGGCATCATTTGGGGTTAACTGCAGTGCTTCATCCCACTTCTGAATCGCCTCTCGATATCTGCGGTGGTTAAAGTTACATTTATATCACATTTCCAATACGTCCTTGAGAATACATGACGAAATGTGAAAACCAGATACTAAGAAATAATTGTTTATCAAGCAACATCTCTATTCAAGAACTGATAATAACGATGTTACAAAAAGCAGGAAATTTTAAGAAATAAAGGGAAAGAACAGCAAAAGAGAAAAAGCCAAATATAAAAAAAAAAAAAGATCTTGAAAGCTTTCTCGAAGATTTTATTTCCTAGGCTGAGAAGTCACCACAAGAAGTGCTATTCTTCATCAACCTCCATGTCTGCGTATGTGGTCATTCATTTTAGATGTATTACAAAGAACTTTTCTGAGGACTTTACAGTCTAGTTGCAACGCTGGGCTCTAGACAACACAATTTGGCTGACAGAGATGACAGTTTAAGAAGCTGTCAGGTAATCTTGTACAGACTCTTCAGTTTTCAGTTTCCTTTTCTATAAGCTCCATGGACACAGACCATGTCTTCCTCATCACTATTACTGCATGGCAAGTTTATAAGATATGGGTCAAATAAATGAAAAACAGTATGGAGATGGTCATTTCCACTATGGCTTTTTCACAGATGTTCTCCTAGTCATGTCTCTCTTTTGAGTTCCAAAGCCATATAGTCAACTAACATCTCCACCTAGATGTTCCAGAAATATCTCCAACTCCCTGCACCCCAAACTGATCCTAGCGCACTCCACGCCAAGTCTACAGAGGCACAGAAGTACTCCTCCTTTTTACAAAACAACTTAAGGGGTGACTAAGTCCTACACGTTATCCAGAGCAGTCATCATCACAGCAGCCTTCACAGAGTTAACATTTATGTACACTTGAATATTTCTATGAGGAGACACTTCCAATTATCAGGACATTTTTCATTGTACTTTTCTATCTTATACCTTTTCTAGAACTAAACAGAAAATATATAATCCACCAGTTTTCATTCCTGGCTATCTACAGAATGGAGATGATGGAGGGGGAAACACACACACACACACACACACACACACACACACACACACTGGTCTCTGCCTCAAATCAACTAAAACAGAAAATTTCAGAGTAGGACCCAGGCATCTGTATTTTTTAAAAGTTTCCCAGGTAATGCTGATTAAAACTAGGGGTATGAAGCACTTTTAATATCTCTTATAGTATATTAAGCCCTATCATATGCTATCTTCTCTTTGTGTTTCTTTTTATTATTTTTTAAATTTATTTTTATTGTTGAGAGTATTGCAGATGTCCCCCCTTTCTCCCTCTTTGCCTACCTATACCTGGCTCCCACCCCACCCCAGGCCTTCACACTATTATATGTGTCCATTGGTTATGCATATAAGTATATAAGTTCTTTGGTTCATCTCTTCCCCCTCTTCCCTCTGAGACATGTCAGTCTGTTCCATGTTTCCATGTCTCTGGGTCTACTTTGTTCATCAGTTTGTTCTATTCATTAGATTCCACATACAAGTGAGATCATGTGATATTTGTCTTTCTCTGACAGGCTTATTTCACTTAGAATAATAATCTCCAGGTCCCTCCATGCTGTCTCAAAGGGTAAGAGACCCTTCTATTTTACAGCTGCATATTATTCATTGTGTAAATAAACCACAGCTTTTTTATCCACTCATCTATTGATAGACACTTAGGCTGTTTCCAGATCTTAGCTATTGTAAATAGCACTGCTATGAACATACGGGTACATATATTCTTTCTGACTGGTGTTTTGGGATTCTTAGGATATATTCCCAGAAGTGGGATTGCTGGGTCAAACAGTTCCATTTTTAATTTTTTGAGAAAACACCATATTGTTTTCCATAGTGGCTGCACCAGTCTGCATTCCCACCAGCAGTGTACTAGAGTCCCCTTTTCCCCATATCCTGGCCAGTACTTGTTGTTTGCTGATTCGTTGATGGCAGCCATTCTGGCAGGTATGAGGTAATACCTCCTTCTAGTTTTGTCTTAAAAAAATTTTTTTTTTCTTTGTTGATTTTTAAAGAGGAAGGGAGAGGGAGAAATAGAAACACTGATGAGAGAGAACATCAATTGTGCCTCCTGCATGCCCCACCCCGGGGATCAGGCCCACAACCTGGGCATGTGCCCTGACTGGGAATCAAATAGGCAACCTCTTGGTGCATCGGTTGATGCTCAACCACTGAGCCACACCAGCCGAGCTGTAGTTATAATTTGCATCTCTGATGATTAGTGACATTGAACATTTTTTTCATGTCTGTTAGCCATCTGTATGTCCTCTTTGGAGAACAGTCTATTCAGGTCTCTTGCCCATTTTTAATGGGACTGTCTATCTGCCTTTTGTTGAATTGTGTGAGTTCTTCATGTATGTTGGAAATTAACCCCTTATCAGATGTTTCATTGGCAAATATTTCTCCCATGCAGTAGGTTCCCTTTGCATTCTGAGGATGGTTTCTTTTGCTGTGCAGAAGCTTTCTGTTTGCTGTAGTCCTGTTTGCTTATTTTTCCTTTGTTTCTCTTGCCCTAGGAGATGTATTAGCAAAAATTCTGCTACATAAGATGTCTGAGGTTTTACTATGTTTTCTTCTGGGATTTTATGGTTTTATGACTTACATTTAAGTCTTTTTTTCCATTTTGAGTGTATTCTTGTGTATGGTGTAAGCTGATAGTCTAGTTTCACTTTTTTTTCATGTACCTGTCCAATTTTCCCCACGCTATTTATTGAAGAGAGTATCTTTATTCCAGTGTATGTTCTTGCCTACTTTGTCAAACATTAATTGACCATAATGGCATGGGTCGATTTCTGGGGTCTCTTGTTTTGTTTCACTGATTTATATGCCTGTTCTAATGCTAGTCTCAGGCTATTTTGGTTACAATGACTTTGTAGTATACCTGTTATCTGGTATTGTGATCCCTCCAACTTTGTTCTTCTTTCTCAAGATTGCTGTGGCTATTCTGGGTCCTTTTTGGTTCCATATAAATTTTTGGAATATCTGTTCTAGATCTGTGAAATATGCTCATGGTATTTTAACAGGGATTGCACTGAATCTATAGACTGCTTTGGTAGTATGAACATTTTAATGATGTTAATTCTTCCAAAGCGTGAACACAATATATGCTTCTACTTATTTATATCTTCCTCTATTTCTTTTTCCAATGTCCTATAGTTTTCCAAGTATAGGTCTTTTTTTTAATTTAATTTTTTTTAATCCTCACCCAAGGACAATTTTCCATTTTTTGTTCAGATAGAGTGGGAGGGAGAGAGAGGAAGAGAGAGAGAGAAAAAAGCATTGACGTGAAAGGGACACATCGAGTGGCTGCCGTCCACACGACCCAACCAGGCCCGGGGACAAACTGCAACCGAGGCAGTGCCCTCAGCAAGAACCGAACCCGGGTCTCTCTGGACCGCAGGCCAACACTCCAACCGCTGAGCCAAACCGGCCAGGGCCCAAGTATATAGGTCTTTTATGTCCTTGGTTAAGTTTATCCCTAGGCATCTTATTTTTTTGTTGTTCTTGCAATGGTAAATAGGATTTTTTTTAAGTTTCTCTTTCTGAGAGTTTGTTATTGGTGTATAAAAATGCCATTATGTGCTATCTTCTCTTGAATTACTTCTTGTTACCTATTTGCCAGTCCCTTCATATGCTGTATGTGCATAATTTTTTACCTAATATGAGAAGATCCAAACCAAACATAACAACCAAAATGTGAGCTGATATGCACTAATTTTTAAGTAGAGAACTAAAGAAATAAAGGCAAAATTTGGAGAAAATACAAAGTTGAAGAACATAAAGAAGTACATTCTCTGTTTTCACCTTGCTATAGACTTCCTTTACTAGTAAGTAAGACGAAGAGGCAAAGTCACTCCTGGAGGCTTACGCCCTCACGGCAGATGGCAAACGGCTGCAGGGAGCCTCGGGTGGGTTTGCCATGGCTAGCAGCAGGGAGGGCCGACGGGGAGCAGGTGTGCTCGCGGAGCCGCCGTACCTGCCACGGGAGGTGGCGGCAGTGGCTGCTGCTCTCTCACCCACAAGGCTGCAGTCGTTGTTGCCAGGCAAACCCCATCCGAGCACGCAGAGAGGTGCCAGATCCACTGCATGGGTCGCGATCAGTATCCTCTTCCCTAACAGAGGACCCGGCAGGTCCTGAGCACATCCCTGTTTCAATACCATGTTTAACTCTGGGTGATTTGAACAGTGTGAGCATTATTCACCTCATTTCTATGATGTGGTACCCTAATGTCACTTTTCTCTGCTTCTGCCTGCATCAGAAATATTCTTTTGCCACAAGTCAAATCACTAAGAGCTTCACTAACTAAAAATTATTTCTCTAACAAGGCTTTTGCCAAACTCAAGGATCTGTCTAGAGCCAGGGTCCCCAAAGCGGAAGTAACAGTGCAGACATGTGGCCTCACTGGGTGCCACCTGCCAATGCTCTTCCTTCCGCCCCACTCACAGATCCTGCGCTGCTCTCTTTCCTGTACCTGGGCACAGTGTCAGGCTATGCCCATCAGCTCGTCCCCACAGGCCTGAGCGCCTGGCACCAATGCTACACACACACTCTCTGCTCGGGGGTTGTGGACATGGGTTGGCTAAACCACCGAGTCCCACTTTCGAGTCTTAGTTAATGGGAATCTGAGGTTCAGTTATTTTAGATAATTTCCACGTTAATAATAGGTGAGAACCTGCCTAATGCAATTCAAAGTAAGTCATTTAAGGTATTTTTTCAGGTGCCAAGAAAATCCTTTATTTATGAATTCCAATTAATCTGCTAAAATACCGTCAACTATACAGAATTAACTAGCTGCTTCAGCAGGGTTACCACCTATCAGATCACACTGCCTGGCCTTTATGCTAACCCTCAAGGTTCCCATTCTTACCATCCTTCCTTCCCCAGCCTTCCAGACAGAAAGAAAAATGTACTTTGAAAAAAAGAAGAATGGTGAAAAGATGCAAGGACCTCAGCTGGAATATTTTAGCAAGAACATACCAAGAAGGAATGAGAGCCTTGGCCAGT